TCCCAAAGAGAAACAAGGTATTAATTTAATGAAAAGGACTACCAAAAACTTTATTCACACAAATGGAAAATGTACAAATCTTAGAAAACCACACAGCCCCTAAGGCTCAAATCAGGAAGAAATAGATCCTGAACAGACCAATTCAAGAAGCGAAATAAAAACAGCAATTAAAAATTCTAAAGAAAAGTTCCAGTCCCAGATGGTTTCAACCTCGAAATTTTACCACACTTACAAAAGAATAGTAACCTATCCGCCCCACAAAACTATTTCACCAACACTCGAGAAGAAAAACTCCACAATTTAGAAGCGAATATACTGCTGAATACAAAAACAAAGAGGATGCAAACACAAAAGGAACACAGAACCCATATCTAAGAATATAGATGCAAAAATTTTCAACAAAATCTTAGCTAACCGAATCCAGACACTTATCAAAAAAATAATCCATCATGACCAAGTGGGCTTTATCCCAGGGATGCAGGGATGGTTCAACATACATAAATCTATAAATGCAATTCACCATGTAAACAGAAGCAAAAACATAGACCACATGATTCTTTCAATACATGCAGAAAAGCTTTTGACAAAGTTCAACACTGTTTCATGATACTAACACTTAAGAAAATAGGCATAGAAGGGACATACCTAAAAATGATACAAGCCATATATGACAGACCCATAGCCAACATCATGCTGAATAGGGAAAAGCTGAAAGCATTCCTACTTAGAACTAGAACCAGACAAGGCTGCCCACTATCTCCACTTTTATTCAACATAGTGCTCGAAGTTCTGGCTACAGCAATCGGACAGGAAAGTGGATTTAAAGGTATCCAAATAGAGACAGAAGAGATCAAACTTTCACTGTTTGCTGATGATATGATATTATATTTAGAAACACTAAAGATTAACGAACGAACAACTCACTGGAACTGCACAACACTCAATGCAATTCTAGTAAAGTCTCAGGATACAAAATACAGTACAGCACAGAAATCAGAGGCACTTTAGTACAGTACCCGCCAACACATCAACATTGCAGAACCAAATTAAAGACTCAAATACCCTTCACAAAATAGCACACAAAGAAAATTAAAGTACCTAGGCGTAATACCTTAACCAAGGAGCTCGGTAAAACCTCTACCGGGAGAATATGAAACACTTCGAGGAAGGCAATGAGCGAAGGGTGTAAACAGATAAACATCCATACCATCACACGCTCATGGGTCAAGCAGATTCAACCTATTAAAATGTCTATACTCACCCAAACTGATCTACATTAACTGCATATACCTTTCAAACATACATCAGCATGTACTTCACCAGATAATAGAGAAAAACTATTAGTTAACCACTTATGTATGGACGCACAAAGGAAGACCCCGAACTATCAAGTAGCAATTTAGCAACAAAAACAAAATGAGAGCTATTAAATAACTGAGTATCCATACTATACTCAAAAAATGTTTCAGATAATGAAAACAATAGTACATGAACAAAAAATTGGATTATTGAAGTGGACAGAATGATGAGAAATCCTTATATAAAACATCCTCATATAGCCATCTAATCTTTTGACAAAGCGACCAATAACATCACTGCTGGGGAATTCGACACTACCAGTTTTAAATAAACTGGCATGCTGGGAAAACTGCGTATAACACTTGAGAAATGACAACCAGGTACCACACTCATTGACCTCCTCACAAAATCAACTCATTCTCTCCACCGCTGGCATACCGAATTAAATCAAGGTACTCACACTGATCTAGAATTCTAGAGGAAAAATGTTGGAAGCTCTCACTAGACATTGAGACATACTGGCAAAGAGTTACTGAAGAAGTCCCCAAAGGCAATTCACAGCAGCAAAAAGAATAATAAATGGGACATGCAATCGAAACCGAAAAACGCCTCTGCAGCAGCCAACAGAAACGTCATGAAATGTACAACTAGACCACCTACAAATGAGAACATTTTTCATCTATTCCGTACACGTCCGATAAAGGCTGATAACTAGGAATATAACTTAGACTCACGAAAATTAAACAAGAAAAATCAAATAACCTATTATAAATACGTGGCAAGGCACCTTGAACAGATTTCTCGAAATGCACAGCAAGCATGCCACAAACATACTGAACAACAACTGCTCAACATCTCTAATCAGTCAGGGAACCATTGACTAATGATCAAAACTACAATACGAGATAATCACTTAATCCAGTGGAATGGCCTTATCAAAAACGTCGCTCATTCAAGCCTCCTAATTACCACCTACCCTCCCCCAACACATATTTAACAAACAGAAACAAAGTATAAGAAACATATATGATGGAAATAGGAGGAAGGAGAAGAGGAACACAATCATAAACATCGCTAGTGGGACATGCAAATATTCTAACTCTGCTCGGAAACGGACATATGGATTCGCACCTATCATCTTAAAGCGCAATACATGCTCGAATCATACACTGCATCCGCAATCCTCCATTGCTGGGCTCTACCCAAAGATCCAATGACACTACTTACATAAAGACACCTGCACTCGAATGTTTATAGCACACAATTCATAATTGCTCAGGCTGTGGAACAGCCATGTCAACCATTCAGATCTACTGAATGAGTCTATTAATGACATAACAGAATGGATTAAAATGTGGTATATGGTAATATAACATAGGGTGATTCTAAATATCAGTCTCTATAGAAGACCACTGGTGATAGTAGCACATCTTATATTTTCCTGGTTAAGAGTTGGAGAACCCATACTACTAAGTGAAGTATCCCAAGAATGGAAAAACAAGCACCACATATATTCACCAGCAAACTGGTGTTAACTGAGTAGCACCTAAGTGGACACATAGGTACTACAGTAATAGGGTATTGGGCAGGGGGGAGGAGGGCGGGTATATATATACATAATGAGTGAGATGTGCACCATCTGGGGGATGGTCATGCTGGAAACTCATGCTTGTGGGGGGGAAGGGCATTTATTGAAACCTTAAAATCTGTACCCCCATAATATGCCGAAATAAATAAATAAATAAATAAAAAGGAAAAAAAAACTGCATTTGTCCTATTGAGGACATTTAACTTCTTGTAGAAAATGTGTGCTAAAGGAAGGAGTTTGACTCTAGCTATGGATTTAATCGATGCCATTATTATGTAACTTTTTGCAAGATATAAAACTTGTATGAGAAGGAGATAATCTATAATAGAGCCCTGGGAGGATTCCATGAACTAATGTACACCGAGTGCTTGGAACAGGGCCCCACACACCTAAGGGTGCACCGTACATAGAAGTCACTCCTTGAAGTCCTTGTTGTAATTTTCAAAGCTGGGGATGTGGAGATATTAGGAGATTTGGGAAGAGAGATTACATCGGGAGGGAGGAAGACATTAATTTGATTTTCCTTCTCAAAATGAGAGTGAGACTACGTGAGGAGGGGGAAATAATTGAGTAAATACGGTAATGACCTGGTTTTATTTTCTTGTGGGGAAACTGTCACCCAAGTGGGAGGACTGGAAGACATATTGCTTACAGAACAGTGTTTTCCTAAGGATTTGCTTTGACCACTAGAGAGTGATTAATATTTACTTCTTTTTTTTTTTAACCTCTCCTCCTATCACAGTCTGTAGGAAAATCTGATAAGCAGAGTAAATGAAGAGATGAAAAGTTATGAGAAAGCATTTACTTAAAAAAAAATGAAACAGGAATATGCATGCTAATCCAACAGAATAATTAACATATAAAGGTCTTCAATATCTTACAAAAAATATTTTTAATAAGATCTACTCTCAATTAGTAAGAGGAGGTTGGTACCCAGATAACAAAATAATCTGAAACATTATGATTTTCTGTTTTTGTATTAAAAATTGCTAAGTCATTGCAAGACTGGCTTAAAATATTTGAGGCTTTATAAAAACCACTGCTGTACATAAAATGTTTACTTATATTTTTGTTTCAGCAGAGAGAATGAAGCAGTCCTTTTCACAGATAAGGTAACTGAATACTGTTTGCTTTTAGCAGTTTTATTGTGGTAAGAAATAAAAAATTAAAGAAATCCAATGCTTTTCTCCATTTTCAGCTCCAACAGCATGAACGGTAAAGATTGACAACTCTAATCAAGAGTTTTAATATAAGATCCTGGTTGGGATAGGCTGTGCAAATACTTTCAGAGTCAACTTTTAAATTAAACTACAATTAGGAGTCTGACCAAACTTCAGATTATCTGCCTTTTTTAGGTGTCTCAATAGGATATCTATTTCAGATTAAAATAACGTAGGAAACATTCACCGTCAAACCTGGTTAGCTCTAGTACATGAGCATCATCACCCTCAATTCCAGTGTGTGCCCTGCATGCAGCTGTCACACACTGCGCTGCAGGGTCAGACAATGGAGGGAAACCCTTTCACCACCTGACACTACTGCAAAGCAAAAGGCAGGGTGTGAAAGTTCTGCCACCATTAGTTTCTATTCTCTAAATTGGAACGGCAGAGAAACCACATGTTAACTTACGAGAGTGTCGACATTTATTAAGCTTTCACTCTGGGCCAGGGGCTGGACCAAAGGCTCCAAAAAAATGCATCTTCGCACATCTCAGTGAGTGGCACGGCACTCGCTGGAAGTGGACTGACCGAGTTTCTACCTGGCTCCAGTAGCCGTGTGACCTTCAGGTAAGTTACCTCACGTCAGTTTCCTCGTCCATAAAGAAGAGATCTAGCCATACTGTCAGATGGCTGTGAGGGTTAAATGCCACATCCCATAGAGCCTTTTACATCGTTCCTGGCAGAGAATAGCCACATAATGAGAGGCAGCTCTTATTATTAAGATTAGACTCTGGAACCACATTTTTAGAAGAAAAACAGGACATTTTACCAACTACATGGTAGGTGAAACTAATTTAAAAGTCTTCGCTCGGGAAAAGTGAATGTACAAACTTAAAAACGAGAAAAGCTCCTCTCTGTTGGAAATCCCAAAAACAATCAGAAGCTGTTCTTACCTGAAGCTGCTGCGCCAAGAGGTGCCAGGTGGATCCTCTGGCCAGCTGACCCCACTTCTTTTTTAAGAAAGGAAGGAACATATCCTGGCTGATTGTGAGTAGCATAACTTCCAAGCTTTCCTAGTGACATATCATAAAGTTTCATAGTCAGAACGTGAATATTTTAAGGTGCCATAGAATAACTTGGAATACGACCTCTATTACTTCTAAATACTATTTTTTGAGCATCTACTGTGTTCTAGGCACTGTGCTAACACTTGCTACAGACATCCTTATTCCATCCACATAACAACCCTCAGATGCATATTATCCACATTGTGTGGTTCTTTGAAGTAACTTGCCTCAGTTCTCACAAGTCATAAGGGACTGAACACAAAGCCTCGGTATGTTCATCTCTCCCTGAACACACCAGGCTTTTCAGTGACCCCAGTTCTTAACATGGGCCACAAAGCCCCCATCCCTGAAGGGCTCTCTGTGTCCTTTGTTTTCATTGTAAGTGTTCTCATAGGGTTGTTGTATGGACTGAATAAGACTATGCAGAACACTTGGCATAGAGTATGGTATTCTAATTGTCAGCTGTCATCATTGTCATTGTCACCATCATCATCACTATTAGTGAGTGATCAATCTGGGGGCAGCACAGGGATGGGCTGAAGAGGAAATCTGAAGGCGGGAGACCAGTGAGGAGGTCACTGCTTTGGCTGAAATGAGAGGCTGAGGGTCTGAACTGAGGCTGTCACAGAAGGATGGGAAAGAAGGGAACTGAGCAGAGAAAGGGGAACATGGACCCCTAAGTTTGTAGCTTCGGTGAGTGGGTGGGTTGTCTAAGAACAGCAAGAGGAGAATCAGGTTTCGGGAAAGACATGGTGCCCAGAGGATATTCCAGTCATGGGCAGGCTAGGAGACTGGTAATGGCCGGGATGTGGAGGTTATGGAGCTGTGGGCTTGGAGGAGCAGCTCAGAAGCTGCAAAGAGCAGGAACAGACTCCAAGGAACCCCTCATTAAGGGAAAGGAAAGAAAGGGACCCTGTGGAGCAGAGAGAACAGACAGGGGGATGGCAGGAGGAGCAGAAGAGATCCAGAGTAGGAGGAAAACAGGAACAGCACACAGGAGAGAGGCTGATGGAACCAGCACTGCCCCAGGATGGAGCAGAAGCTGCTTCAGTGGCATGACGCAAGTTGAGGACAAACTACAGGGAGTTTAAGAGCAAACTGGAAGCTATAGGTGATAAGAAGCCAGCCATGGAGGAAAGGAGACAGGCTTTTCAGCTAGAAGGCAAAATGGGCTCTGATCGCCCTGATGGTTTCAAAGAACTGTCCAGTTGGCAGCTAAAACAACAGTGTTGTCCCCCTAGTGTTATTTGTTCATGTCTAGAGCTCTGTGTCCCTGATGTTTCTCACAGGGCTTAGGCACAAGTGTTTGCTCTCAAATCAACAAATGTCAAAGAGCAATATTACTTATGGGGCCCTAAAGGATTTACACAGTAAGCACATGTTATCAGTCTATACAATTTTCAACCCTATTGAATTCTGCCTAAGTACAGGTGCCTAATTTGACCCTTCTCACCTCAGGAATTCCTTCTGAACCTCTACAAGGGATCCTCAAAACTTTTTAAACAGGGGACCAGTTCACTGTCCCTCAGACTGTTGGAGAGTGCAGCACACATTCCACACATGTGCACTGTGGGCCCGGGACAAATTGGCTGCTAAGCAGGACAAGCAGCGCTGGCTGGATAAATGTCCTTGGCGGGCCGCATGTGGCCTGCAGGCTGTAGTTTGAGGACCTCTGCAACCACTTCTTTACTTCAGAAGACTTTTTGAAAGGAAGTTCAAAGCAGTGATCACGTTCAGTAGCAGCTTCAGATCACTGCTCTTGCTCTCATCCTCGTCATCAGAGCAAACACTTACCAAATGCTCGGTGTGACAAAAATCTTAGGTATGGTTACATAATTATACCTAAGTATTGTTTTCTCTATTGTATAAATGGTATAACTAGCTTAAATAACTTGTTCCAACCACAAAAGCTAGTGACAAAATGGGGATGTGTCAGACTGTAAAAGCCATACATTGATCAGTTATGGGATGCTGCTGCTTATTAGAAAGTGCTGAAAACAAATGAATAAAAAATTAAATCTTAAATTATTTTGGCATACCTTGAAGTACTTTGTGAGCTGCAAATTTTAATGTTGGAGCCAGTGGTTAGCACTGTTGAAACCAATGACACCAAGTCCCTAGAATGCCTAAGAAATCACTATTTCCATTAACCCAGTTAATATTTTCTTTTAAAATGATTGTTAAAGCTTAAGAAATGAATTTCAGAACTTAAAAAAATTTCCAGGAATATCGATCACAAAATTAGAAAAATTTTTCTTTTAATTCTTTTCAGTAGAATTATTTGCTTGATTTCTTCTATAAATTGCCATAATTAAGAAGATGCACATATAGCTTTTTGAGAGCAAATTATTCTTAGAATCCCAACTACTGAAGGACAATGTTCTGGATGAATTGGAATGCTTTTCTTTCTCCTAGTCCTGAGCTAACTTCTAAAAGCAGGTCACCCTGGCCTTTTATATCAGGATCAGGGGCAAATGTTGAGAAGAAAATTTGACAAGAGATTCAAAGAACAAGTTGTACTGATGTTTAATGCCCAGAAATTACCTTGTGAGTCCTCTAAGTTTTCAGGAAAACTTTCATTGCATGATAGTTTTTCGATTGGTTTAATTATGCTTTCTTCTAAAGAGAAGGCAGATGGAAAGAATGAATAGTAAGGATAATATTTTAGGAAAGGCAGAGGAAAAAAGGAATTAGATGATTAATGAAAAGATCTAGAAAGAACTCTTAAAATGAGAAAATGTGCCCACGTGTTGTCACAGCTTTCATCTGGTGCCAATTGTACATTCCCTTGAGACTCAAAGTTGTCCTGCTGTCATTTAAAGGGATTTGTGTAACTGGTTGATTCAGTGAATATTACTTTTAAATATCTAAGGAAAAATAAGTAAATTACAGTGCTACAGCATAAGACTCACCTTAGCACCATTAAATGGATAAGCTGAGTCTTTAAAAAACCTGGAAAACTTGTAAAATGTCCAAGTGTGTTAATGTCAATCAGAATACCTCACTAGACTGCTCACTTGCTGTAACAGCAATCGTCAAACTTTTTGATCCAATACCACCTACAGTTTTTTAAAAATAAATCGGTACCTCTTCACAGACTTTTAATTTGACATCTAAAATTTTTCATCATAAACAGTTGCAAAGGATGTAATTTCTGGGATATTGTGATTATAGATATTTTTAAAATAAAACTATTACATTTCTCCTTTAAACATAGCCAATGGAATCTAAATATCATAGTGACTGTATGCCCTTTAATACTGACATAAAAATACAAGAACAAGTTCCTTTTTGACATTGGGAAATTTTGCATTAATTCCTTTTCCCCTTAAAATTATATTTTTATTCATACCTCAGCTTCCAAATTTTATCCAAATATAATCTTAGGCTTAAAAGTCTTTAAACTGAACAGTCAAGATGTGTATAAATTGAAAACCATTTAAATTTCTTATAATCCTAAGTATATTAAAATACATTTTTCTGCATTTAGTTATAATATAATGGTTCATTTTATATAATTAAAAAGATGAATATTATACATTCTGATTACTAAACATTAAAAGTAAGTTTTTTTTAAAATGCATCTCTTAAGAAAGATGGGACTTTTTCAGGTAGTTCACGTTATCAACAAATAAATAATTGTTGCTATAATCACACAGGGTTGAGCATCTGTGCTATTTCTTTTCTCTTTTTTTCTTAATTTTTGGAGATAGAAACACTGGGAAACCTTGTTAATACAAATAAATAGTTGGGAATGAAAGGGGTTTTGTTACAGCTTTGCCACCCCATTCTTTGGACTCTCTTCAAAGTTACAGACCAAAAGTCATAAGTGACCTCATAAAAAATGACTTTTAATTACCTGTCAGCTAACAACTCAGTTAGGTCCTCCTTCAATTTTCTGAAAGCTAAGAACTGAAAACCAACTTAAAAAGGATTTGTTCCCAGTAATCAAAGTTGCTTTCTCAACAGTGACATCAACATATCAGATTTTCCATTCGATTGGCACCCCAGATATTTTTACATTTTGGGGAAACAGGAAATACACTATAGTAGCCACTGACAATAAAAAAGTGGAACAAGGCAGATCCACGTGGGAAAGACCCAGATGGAAGGCGAGGATCTGGCAAATGATTCCCTTAAAACTATCTGTGCTCAAGTAGTAGCTGGAAAACCTTTGTGCGCCCCTCCAGGTTATGCATATCTGGGTTAGAAGAAGGTAGCTACAATGTATTTAAAACTAAACATTGGTAAAGGAAAACAATGAATATTTATATTTTAAATGTCTTCTTGCATTACCTGCATTACTCCTTTTGAAAGCAAGTTCTGTCCGAGTGGGTCCCAATGACTTAGGAAATAACTGAGTTCTCCAAGTGTGTGGGTTTATCTCCTTTCTTCCACTGGCTATCAAGGACACGTTCTTGGGATTTACACCTTAGAAGAACAAAGCAGTCATTTCAAAGGTTAGAATGAGATCATAAACTTGAAGGAAAAATATATAATACATTCAAACAAAGACTAAAATACCTTGGACAGGAGAATAGAAATAAATTTAAGTTAAAATGTAGCAAATATTTGCTTTTTGTGAACCCTAACATGATCCTAAGCCCTCAACACAACCACCTGGAATACTAACTTTGTACTTTATAAAGATACTTTCTATGATACACATAATAATTTGATGTTCTTGCTAAATGTCTTGTAAAAATTGAAGTGGCACAATTTTTTTTTTCCAAAAACATGACATTTCCATGTCTCTCACTTGTTTTGATGTATGCTCTGGGCCAGACCCTTGGTGTAGTGGGAAAAACAGACACACAAACAAGAACTCAGGGAAACCTGAGAAGTTCTGAAATAGACGTGTTACAGATCCATCTGTAATGCTTACTTGTGTATTAGACATAGTAAAATCTAAATAGTATATCACTTGTGAACCAGGGAAGGTGTTGGAAATGTACTTGGAAAAGAGGACAGCTTAAATTATTTGTGATTTTCTGACATCTATGAAATGTTGAGTCAGTCTTGGGCTTTGGTACCAGTGGTCAAAGGGGGTTGTTTTAACTTGTTTTTAAGAGAGTTGAAAACTTCTTGAGCTTGTTTTCTTTTTACTGACAATTATATTTGACTGAACTGTGAGATGCTAAAGACGTCACACGGTCTACATCTTTAGGTTCCACACATAGTGTTTTCTTCAGTCAGTATAGAAATCTATACTATGTTTAAACCTAAACTGAAGACTCCATTAATTTAGGAAGTTAGAACTATTTCTAGGCAGTATGAACTTTTGTTTTTTACAAGCTGAATTCCTTAGAATTCATTTATGAGCATATATTTATAATAATATCCCTTACTTTGAAACCCAAAGGACTGAGCCTCAAGGTACCCATTGTCGGTTCTCCAAGGGAACACTCCATCAGGCAAGAAAGTTCCCTTTCTTATAGGATATAACTCCCTAATAAGACACCTACAAATAGAACTATAATAGACAATTAGCTGACAATAAAGAAGATGTACTAGGTGGCAATTACTCACATTAAAAATATCTTCACCCAAAAAGAAAGTACAATGTAGGGGGAAAAAAATTAAAAATCTCTTTAAGTAAACACAGTTTTCATAAATTTAGTTCAATAAAGAATGGGCCCTGAATATTTATTTTGTTAATCTAATTGCCCTTGGCAATTTCTCTTTATTTAAATGTAAGTGTATACATTATTGAAGATAATTGGTTTAATTCAAGGTCTTTTTAAGATAAAGATTCCAATTTTGTTGGAAATAGATACATCCTAGAATTTGAAATTATTTATTAGCTTATAAGTTTTTATTTGGTACCTTCTATATAACAAACACTATTAGGAAGAAGTAGAAACTAATATAATTTGATAATGATATATATCAATATATGAGGATAATTGCTCAAGAAATCAGTTAGCAAATATTTACCGAGCACCTTCTATGTGCCAGTGTGTGTGACATTGGACAAAAAGTGGTAAACAAAATACAGTAGTTCTTATTCTTTTGTCTCTTATAATCTATTAAGAAGGGAGACATGTATATTTATTATTAATTAAGTAAATAAATAGCAGTGTGCATACTGGAAGAATCTGGTGCTAACCGGGCAAATAACAAGCAATTCAGCCAGTCTTCCTTTCAAAAAATCAATTTTAAACTGGAATGTGAATCATGGTTAGGGGCTGGGGAGGTGTGTTCCTGGGAGAAGCAACAGTTTAGGCCGAGGCCCTGAGACGGGGAAGCCCACAGAGGTGGTCGGCACGGATGCAGTAAGAATAAGGAGTGGTACAAAATGAAGCTGGATGGGGGAGGAGGATCAGATCATGCAAGACGTTGTATATGGTGTTAAGAAATTTAACATGCAGTAGAAGAAGCTAGGAGAGAAATGACACAGAACATTGAATAAACAGGGTGGAAGGAAAGATGGTAAGAGCTAATGGGAAGAGAGAAGCATTCTGTGGAAGCTGTTCTTACAGCCAGCAGTGATGGCATCAATTCATGCTTGGAGTCCTGGTTCTAGGAGCACAGGGTGAGACCAGAGGGCACCTGGTAGCATTTCCATTACATACTCTAATATTTGCAACTACCTTGTGATAATTAAATACCTAAGGCTTACAGGGTGAGCTGATAGATGACTGTAGTCCCATTGTAAGAAACAGAAAACAGAATCTCAAAGTCTTGCTCCAAGTACACAGCTGGTCAGTCGCAGGTCAATAACTATGACTTTTGCGTCTCTTTCCCTGAAGGCCAGTGTCACAGATCTGCCAGTCCTTGTAGTATAATGTCATGCTGCCCTGCAATTATACGGTACATTTCTAGAGCTCCCATAATCCTAAAGGCTGATGCTTAAAATAAGACCTTTTATACTTGGCTTTGGAGTAAAAAAAAAAGGGCCCCACAGATATTATTTTTATTCCTGAAGATATTCAATTACAAAAATATCTATAGATCACAAATAAATGTAAAAGATTTCTTCATATTCAGGTTTCTATCCTCTGTACAATTGCTGGTTCACAGTAAGTGCTCAATAAATGTTTGTCCAAGTGAATGAACTGAGCCCAATTCTAGTTTCAAATCTCATCCAGTTCTAGAGGGGTCATCTTCAAAACAATGCCAATATGGTGACAGATAGTAGGGCTCACATTTAGGTTTCAAACAATTCTTTGTCATTTGAGTCCATCTTTAAAGTGTGAATTATAGCCATATTCTGATCCCAAGTAATTTGCAGAATTTGTTAGATCTTTCTAGTTAAAAAAGAAATGATCAGACAGGGCTCAGAGACCCTGAAATATATTCTTGAAAACCACTTAGGAAGCTGAACTGTGAAAATAGGGTGATTTGGATCCATTTACCCTTTGCCAAAAATCTACAGTGTCTTTCCTACTGCCAGAGGCCTCACTTCTATGAGACAAAAATAGTGATTTGCTAAGTTTCAGTAATTTTTTTTTAAACAGGGAAAAGTATCTCCCATGAATCTATGTCCTAGAAATTTTCTTACTTCCCTGCTCTTGCGGTCACATTAGAACTCTCTGAGGGTTTCAACGCTAAAATATACAAACCTGCTGGTATCTAGAGATTACAACACAGGTATTTTGCTCCTTTCAAAAGTGTGCACCAATAATTTTTATATTGATTCATGTACAAATGATAATATTTTGGACATATGGGTCAAATAAAATAGTATTAAAATTCAAAAAAAAAAAAGTGTGCACCAACCCTTATGGACTTGATTCCAACTCCTCTCGCCTTCCTAAGGGACTTGGGTCTCTCAGCATCCCCCTCCTCCCCTGCACTACCCGTTCCTCCTTCTACAAGCACTCAGGCCCATGTTGGCACAGACCTGCCTAGAGCACTGCTAAGCAACCCCCTGCATCCCACACCTGTTAGGTTCCTTTTCTAAGCTCCTCTTCAAGGCAAACTGAGACCCAACAGCTTAATTGAGGACTGCCATTACTACAGTTTGATTATAAAGAGATTTAGGCAAATTTCTCATCCTATGATTCTAACAATATGATAATTTCCTATACAAAAAAGTTAGAATAAATTAAATTTTTTCTCACTTTCCAGATTCATAGCATAATGGCACAAATAGAACAGTCTTTTTCAAACTGCAGAAGAGATTACAGTGGTGAAAATTTGACCTTATGAGGAAGAAAGAATAGGGACTTCAGTGTTAAGAGTAGATTTCCAAAAACTCAAAATATTTCCAATTTTTAAAAAGTGACCAAGAAAACAAAAAACAAACGCCAAGAAAACAATGCCATGTTTATATATTACATTAGTAAAAATTTTACTGCATGGGAATTTCCTAATCCCCATCCCTAGGCTCACAAGAATCTGGATCCTCCCCTCCCCTCTTTATTTTTTTTTTTTTATTTTTGAAACAGAGTCTTGCTTTGTTGCCAGGCTAGAGTGACTGCTATGGCCTCAGCCTAGCTTACAGCAACCTCAACCTCCTGGGGTCAAGCAATCCTACTGCCTCAGCCTCCCAAGTAGCTGGGACTACAGGCATGCGCCGCCATGCCCGGCTAATGCTTTCTATATATATTAGTTGGCCAATTAATTTCTTTCTATTTATAGTAGAGATGGGGTCTCGCTCTTGCTCAGGCTGGTTTTGAACTCCTGACCTCGAGCCCACCTAGGCCTCCCAGAGTGCTAGGATCACAGGCATGAGCCACCGTACCCACCCACCCCCCTTTTTTAAGCGCTATATCATATTTGTACATATTTTGGAGTACATGTGATATTCTGACACATGTATACAATGTGCAATGATCAAGTCAGGATAACTGAGAGATCCAACATCTTAAACATTTATCTTTTCTATGTATTTGGAATATTATAACTCATGTCTTCTAGCTATTTTGAAATATACAATAAATTATTAGCTATAATTTTCCTACTATACTACCAAATATTAGAACTTATTTCTCCTGTCTATATTTCTTCATCCCCATCCCCAACTATTTTAAGAAGATATTTGCAAATTCATTTGCTATATGCTACCAATGAGATACACATAACTGTCTTCCCTGTTTCTCTACCCAGATGTGCACAATCTTTCTAATATCAAGACCTGTGTTTTTTCAGGCCTGCTTCCCATGCCTCACCCTGCTGCCACAGAGCCTAAATAATTTGCTTACAATGAAACAAACCTTAATATTTAACCTACTTAGATCTCCAAATACTCAGTTATAAAGTTTTGCTCTGTCCTTGATAACTTCATGCCAATCTCTTCAACCTCACTTAGAACCGTTAGTGCCTTCCTCCTCACAAATCAGCACAGGAGCGCGGTTGCAAAGCCTTGGTTTGATCTTGTAAATTCGTTCTGACTTGACAGTTGCGGCTCACCCTGCACACCCACTACGTCTCCTGTTTTCTCTCCCAGTCATTTCTAAACTTCGTGCAGTTTCATTTTTTTCTCTCTCTTCAATTACTAACAGGAGTGGGTCCCAGCTAGATTCCTAGAACTGAAATTTATATGGCTGCCTATGAGGTACACAGGAAAAGGTGTGACGTACCAATCTCTTGCTAATAAATCCAGCCTCAACCTTTCTGCTCATCTGCCTTACCCTCCCTCCCAAACCAAGCTTCTGGGAAATGAAGACCATGGCTTGCTCAGGATACTTAGCTGTAAAAAGCAAATCTTCCTCAGGTAAACCCAGAGCCTGCTCATTGCATTTAGAAAGCTAAAAATGAGCAAGCCCATAAAAACCCAAAAGAAAAAGATCACCTCCTCCTCACTGGACTAAAGATATATCTGTACAGACACATGATAATGTAAAAATTGATTACCTTTTCGATTAAACTGAATCTGAAACTGTTTTTTCATTGGATTTCAAGGAGAAAGTGCTGTTTGCAGGCACATGATAAACTCCCCACTGTCTGTCTAGAGCTTTCTCCCAAGCCCCAGATTCATATATCCAGGTGTCTGTCAGATCAACTCAGATGTTCCACAGGTAAGCTGAACTCCACTCTCGATTCTCCGCCTCCACGCTCCCGTGCTCTCCTGCTCCTGTCTCAGCCCACGTCACCACCACCCATACAGCTGCCAAGCCAAAGCCTCCGAAGCTGACGCGGATTCCTTCCACTCCTGCGCATCACCCCCGCTCGCCTGACCACAAGTTCTGTCAGGTGCGTGACCAGGATCCGTCTAGATTCTACCCACTTCTAGCTCTGCTGCTTCCACTTGGGAACAGGCCTCCACCCTCTCCCATCTGGATAAGTGTCATGGCCTCTGGATCAGTGTCCCTGCCTCTCTTGAGCCCCTAGCATGCTCTGCCCAGCAGCCAGAATGATCTTTAAAAACTTACATTAGATCATGTAGTAAACAGTATTTAAAAATCTACATTTTATAAAAAGTTGTAATGGGAATGCAGAATTGTTTCAATAACATTTATTAGCACTTACTAACTATATAGCTTTGCAGGAGGAGGGAGGTATTTTTTGGAAGCATGTTCATAATTCTGATATTTAGCTACTATGCATTTCTTGAGCAGAAACAGGAGATCCAGAAAACAGGCTGAGCTACCAAAGTACATTGAGATTATTATATTTTTTATTTTACTGGTGCCCTTTCTCCAGAGATTCCAGGACACTTGAGCCTGACCTATCTATACTCTAGTTAGCAATTAGTTCTCTGCTTACCTGGAAGGTATCTTGATTGTTTCAAGTAGTACTGTTTAGCTGTTGAAGCAGTTGACAATTCAGAATCAGATTTTAGAGAAATAGGAGCAGGTAAGTTCTTGCTTTCCCCTAGGGAGTGGTTGGAGCCTGAGGGTACTGACTCAGGAAGCCTTGAAAGTCAACATGAGGCAGCATTACAACGTGAACAAAGAGAAGTTCCTACCCACCCTCTGTCCATCTTTTCAAACCAGTCAATGGTTTTCATTGGAGTCCTTTGGCTAAATGACAAATCCCCTCTACCCTCAGTAGATATTAAGCAGTGTATAGAATCATTTCTGATACCAGACAGTACATGACAGGAAGCTTTATAGTGGAGCAGCAGTTTGCTTGTGTGTAGTTGTTAGGTTGGCCTAGGGTGAGAACCCAAACAGTAGAGGACTTAATGCGGTTAATGGAAAACTTAGACAGTAATCATAAAGCCTGTGAAACAAAAGCCGCAGGAGTCTGGAGAGTCCGGAGGTTGTAAATCTAACTCCAGACCAGACAGCTGCAGTGATAATCAGCATTCCTATCACCCCCCTCCCCACACAAGGTCAAACTACACCCCTCCCTTATGTCTACAGGATGAGACCAATGCAGGGATCCCAGAAACTGGTCATTTGAAAAAGCATTTATTACACTGGCTGTTCTGGCCCCATTGCTGGAAAAACCCTCTATAAAACCCAATGCTTCCCCCTCCCCCTTGTGGTGGATGCTTTTTTTGGCCTCCACCCATCTGCTCAAATAAATGGCATTTTGCTACCCCCGAGGCTTCGTGTGTATCCCTTTCAGCTCTGGACCTAACATCAGTATGTTTCTATCTTTCCTGTAACTGCTGCAGTGTGAAGCTGGTGCACTGAAAGGGAAGACAATCATAGCCATCTTCACCTGTCAACTAAAATAACTTGGGGCATGGCTAGATGGGCTAAGAAAACCGAAGTGGGGAAAGAAGGGCTAGTAAAGCTCCCATGTAAAATTTCCAATTACCCTAGTGACATGCATAGCATATAGGTATTTAGATAATATATAGGTATATATAGAATATAGGTATTTGCTGAGACATGCCCATTCCCCAGCATAGAACCTGTGGCTGAGCACCTGGCTGGCTGTTCAGTGGTGTCAGTACTAAGACTGACTCTGCCACTCGGTCCCTGCCTCCCCCAACCCTTTTTCTGTCTACGAACTGGGGACTTTCAGCTTCCAGGCTTAGCTCTGTCTTGTTCCTGAGGCCATTTTAACTAAGCAGCAGTGCACAAGGCAGCCTTCACTACCAGAGAATGGGGCTATAACTTGTTTTGCTGCCCATTCCTGTGTGCTGTAATGAGCTCTTCACAACTGACCTTCCCTACCACCCTCCAACTGGGCTTCCTTGTTTGCTGGGGCCAGAATGTACTACCTAACTCCCATCATCTGTCTTAACTCTAAGAATCTGCAGTTACCACCTAGAAATTCATACTGCCACATTCTACTCACCAAGTCAACCCCCTTGGAAATGGATACTAACTTGACTGGCCCTTTGAACTGCTGGTCACTCCCTTTGGGGTAGTTCCTGACACAGGTACATCCACTTCATTGGAAACAGCCCTGCCCACCTCTGGCATCTTCCCTACCCTTCCTGCTGTTGTTACACCACCGACTGAAAAGTCTACCCCATTCCCAAACTGCTCACTCTAAAGACTTTCCTCTCCTCATCAGAGTGCTCTGCCCATAGACAGAACTCTCAGAGCTCCTTGCGGCTCCTGCATTCCTGGCACTAAATACACACTCTTGTCTCATGTTATAGTTCTTTGAAGGTCTTATTTCTGCTGCTGTATACTTGATGGGTTGAGGACAGGCTTAATACCAACCAAGTGTTTAGTAAATGGCTACTGAGTATAAATGTAAATATAAATGTGAGTATAAATATCTTGCTTTTTTTTACTTTAATAAAAGATAAACATTAAATAAAAGGTTTACATGTTAGTATTTAGCACTCTGTATTCTTAGTGGAGAAGCCCCGGCTGCCCGAGAGACCGAGCAGGGAATAACAGAGTCTGTTCAATTCACCGAGCCCTTGAGCTCCTGCTGCTGAAGAGGTGGTGTGGTGCAGGAGAGAGAAGACCTGGATTTGAATTAAGCCTCATCTGTCTTGGCAAACTTACCCAACCTGAGTCTCGGTGTCCTGTTCTGCAGATATTATTATTGGAGTATGAAGATTATAAATAAAGTTTAGGTAGATGGTAGTATATTGATAATTACAATAACTATATGCCTAGAATTGTACAGGGCTATTGAAAGATACAAAAAAATAAAAATGTAGAAGAAATACCCACAAGAAAAATTCATTGTCATATAGTTTTTCTAAAGAATTTCAAGACAAAAAGGACAATTGATATTGAGATTTACCAATTGGTCCCTTGCCAGAATCAGGCATATAGACTACAACTCTGATCTTAACTATAAGTTTTAATTCAAATTTCTACCATCCTCAAAAATATATTATAAAAGTTTTGCTAAAATTAGAATGACATGAGTTAAAAAAAATTTTCAAGCCGTCCATACACTGTATCAATGGTTTTTGAGCTCTTCTGCTCCTAGACCCAAAGAATTATTTTTTAAAAAACTATGTAACTCCCTGCACATCTTTAAGTTGACATCTACAATTTTTCATTCTAAATAAATTTATTTCTTGTTTCTTGTTAACAGAAGATAGAAAAAAGTAAATATTTTATAAGACGGCATATTGTGAAGATTGACTGTAACTGGAATATTTCATGGTAAGACTTAATAAAAATAAGTTTTAACTATCTTATCCATAAAACACTCTCAATCTTCAAAAAATATATAAGATTTTTATGTGTGGGTTTGGAAAATGAGATGGTCCTACAGAACATTCTCGTACATTTAAAAGAGTATATAAGACTATCCCTTGGTGCTTCAGTAGTTCTGAATCGACATGCTTCCCAGCACAGGCTAAAATAGAGCAGCCCCCCTTACCTGAGTAGCTGTGTTCTAACACCCCCAGTGGATCTTGGATCTACTATATCCAGGTCTTACATACTGTGTTTTCCTATATGTACCTACATACTTATGAAGAAGTTTATAAATTGGGCCCAGTAAGAGATTAACTTCAATAACTAATAATTATATAGAACAATCATAACAATATACTATAGTAAGTTATGTGAATGTGGTCTCTCTCTCTCTCTGCAAATATCTAGTTGAACTGTGTCAAGTAACTGAAATCATAGAAAGTGAAACCACATATAAGGGCAGACTACTGTGCCCTACTTCTAATGCAGGGTTCTCCACTTAAGATAAATATACATAAGAAACAACAGAAAGCCTTTTCAGTTAAAGGTGCCAGTCTTCTGATTTCTCCCTTTATTTAGTGCCTCTAGTGTCATGTAAAATTTGAAATAGCTGAGAGATGTGACTTTCTTGCCTAAAGAGGGAGAGGATTCCTCTAAGTGGGATTGTCCTCAATTTCATGTATTTTAGGCAAGGGTATGTATGAAACCTAAGGATCTGGAAATTGACTGTCGAAGAATTATCCAAGCATATGTCCCCTCTAGAGAGTCTTCATGCATCTTCGAGGGTATGTGTGCCCCAAAGTCTGCACTATACCCTGCCAGACAGCTACTGGACAATTTCCCTGACTCGCAGTACAGCTGTTCTCCCGATGCCTCTTCTGTTCCAAAGAGGAAAAAATTGAAAGTATTTTTCCAAAATGTTCACCAAAATTTAACCTATCTTAACTTCAACGTTGAATAATATACTAATAAGGATCTAACTTATAAAAATAAAAGGGACTTCTAGAAATATTAAACTTCCAGAAAAAGTTCAGAAAATGATCAACAAAAGTTTAGTATAGCAAGCAAGCTAATAATTAAATCTTAACACCATCAGAAGAAACCACTAACTTTGTACATGGTGCTCTCTTTCTGCAAATAGGCTTGTGAATTTCAGATGGGAATAATGATGATTACAATTCACAACAGTACCATAAAAACTGAACAAGAAACCCTTCCTACACACGCACACACCCACACCACTCACCCACCAATACTGAGAATCATTCCTGTGAGAAGTTAAGAGTCTTAACTTTTCAGAAGTATGCATAAGGATTTGGGTTTTGTAGAAGAGAACAATATTAATTAAGCCAAGTTTTTTTTCTTTTAAGGTCTACATGCATTTATATTTAATGAGTAAAATAAAGTTGATACATGATAAAAATATTTTTTTCCTGAGAAATTTGAGAACTTACCAAAATGGAGTATCTTTTTTCCTCTTATCTTTGAAAATGCCCATGCTTGGCTTCTTGGAATGGGAGGCTCCAAAATCATGGTCCTCAAACTCCTCCCAGCTGTCTCCAGACTTGAAGACAGCCTGGCCCCAGCGCCTCCTTGCATTTTTATGGCTGTTTGGCTTCTGTGGTGGAAAAATCAGTCATCATAATCTTTAATCACGTGCTGAATGCCTTTCATGCATGAGCTATTGTATTAGACACTAAGAGTCCTCATTCTCAATGAGCCCTCCATATACTAAAGGAGATAACATACACACACACACTTAAAAGCATTAACAAAAACAGGTAGTAAATGCCAAAAATATAATAGGTATTTAGAGGAGAGAATTTTGTGAACTTGGGTTGGGGGGAGACGTGAATATTTAGGATCTGAGCTGACCCTTCATTGATGTGAAGGATCCAGAAAACTGAGACTTGGCTGTCTCTTTGGGCAAGTGACTTGAGTTCTCAAAGCCTTAGTGCCCTTCCCAAGTGGAGACAGCCTTAAGGAGTGGACACTGAGGCTGGCATGTACCAGTATCTTTCACTCTTCCCCCTCCTAGAATGCAGACATGACACCCAAAGGAGCAACAACCATCTCATGGCCACAGCCACGAAAGCCACTTGCTGAGGGCGATGGAACAGGAAGGCGGCCCAGCCTGTTTCCTTTGGAAGCTGCATAAGCTCCAGGGTGCCTGCCACCCAGCTTCTTGTTAAGTGAGGAAAAACAACCCCTATTGTTTAAGCCACAGTGGTTGGGGTTTCTGTCATAAGTCACTGAATGTAATCCTAATGGACACAGAGAGGGAAATCTGAGTCTGATTGTCTCAGAATGGTGGCACCATTAACAGAAATAAGGAATGTGGACATCCTGACTTGGGACAGACAATGAATTGGTTTTATACAAATTCATAGAGTGGTTTGGGGCATATAAACAGCAAAATCACCAAGGCAATTCAAAACCAGCAAATAGAGCTTGGAAGGAAGGCAGCCAAATACAGCTTTGTTGGCAGCAAGATGCTTTAAAAATGGATATGCTATTGCTTGAAGCTGGTGCTGTCATAAGGATGGATAATGACAAAAAGTGGTCTCTGACAACTTCTGTACTGTTATTTTCTTTGCCAGAGACAACGATCTCCAGACTGAAGGGAATACAAAGATCTGAAGTTCCAGATGAGTAGAGTTAATAAGACAACACACTTCACTGAATTCAAGCCTCCTTTTCGTGGCACTGTATTTTAGGGCACTGATGCTGAACACTGCTGAAGAATGTCAGTGACAGCAAAGAAGCATGTATGTCTGGGAAAACTATAAAGGGGCAAATATAAATTATTTTCAGAAAGTACAAGGAGGATTTTTGCAAACTGTTCGCTAAGTTTGGTATACTATGAAAGCAAAAATTCTAAAATCAATTATTAAAGAGAACGTTTATATACACTAAGGGAAAAAATGGTGAATCTTAGAGGCCCATCGTTTTTCATAAAGAGCAAAAAATGAATGTGTTGGATGTAGTACATGTCCACGTCAGTCAAGTGGGTGACAGGATGTTTCATGGCATCCTTACCACTGAAATAAAGTGGTGAAAGCACAGCAAAGGTAGATCAGTACATAGTTCCATAATCTGACCAAGACTTCTGACTAATGGATCAATGTCAATCTAGAACAAGGTTCTAGTGGCCTGCCCAAAGGCTCCCTGCTGTTCTGTTCATCATGGAAACACAGGAGAAAAACAAACAACTAAACAAATCCATAGTGGCAATAAGCTGGAATGGCCAAACTGAGAAGAAAAAATAAGGGTTCAAAAATAACTAGAAATTTGAGACATAAAAGTGAAGTCTTGCAACTCTTTGAATCCTAGAGATCAAATATATAAGTAGAGGTACAGGATATGTGATTTAGCAGAAGCATTTATAAATGCTTCAGGTAGACTTAGAAATTTCAGTTGACAGAATGAATGCTCAGTCCCAGCTCTGGAACTTACTAGCTAGGTCAAATTCTAGGGCTGGGTTACTAGGCACTGAGAGAGCACACACGGGCGCCCAGCACAGTGCACAGACAGCACTGAGCAGCTGCTCAATACATGTTAACTTTCTTTCCTTCCCTCTCAGTACAAGTCAACATTTGATGTGCCAAGAAAAAAAAAGGAGGGGAGAATGCAAACCTTGGGAGCAGGAGTGAATATATGGTTTTGGAATGCTGGAGGAGATTTACTCTGCCCTGTCCTCCCTATGCTCTGTCTCTGTCTACCTCTGGCAGCCTCATTCCAGGTGGGAAATAGGCAGGTGAGGGGATTTAAAGGCTCCTTCACACACAGGATCTTAGGGTCACTCAGTGGTTGGTGAATGATGTCATATTCAGAGCATGTCCGGGAAGGGGGATGTTTTTCCTAGGAAAAGGGCAGATAATACAAGGGCAATCTTCAAATATCTAAAAGGTTGCCTTTTCTAGAAGAGTGATTAGATGTTATTAAAAGCTATCTAATTTCACTTAGTAGTATGGGTAAAAAAAATTAAAAAAAAAAAAAAAAAGCTATCTAAAACCAGATTTTAGCTCAGTATAAGGAAAAATGTTCAGAACTGTCCAACAGATGAAGTAGACTCCCCAGGACCCTGGAGGTTTAAAAACAGTGTGGACAATTATTAATTAATTCATTCGTTTGTTCAACAAATATTTATTGAGAATCTACCTACCATGTGGGAGGCACCATTCTAGGTTCTGGGGCTATACTGATAAACAAAACAAACATTCCCAACCTCGCGGAGCTTTCATCCTAGTAGGAAGGGCCAGATAATAAATGATAACATGAAAAAAAGTAATTAATAGTATATTAGACTGTAATTACTGCTATTGGGGGCTTAGGAAGCCTCACTTATACTAGGATGGTGGGGGTGGTTGGGGACTGGATAAGGAATTGGATACAGTGTTAAGATCTCTTTCAGTCCTAGAATGCCATAATGCAAACACATTTGGAAGTGTACACCCCGAGGGGACGGCTAAATAATATGGCACTTGATGAGCTCCTGGAACAGAACAAAAGAAGTAGGAAGAAGAGGTTTTATACTATGCCTGACAATTAAAAAATAAAATAAACCTATTCTGTTCATGTTCATTAGCATTTAAAAACTGTAAAATTGCAGTACTGTTAAAATACTTAAGATTCAGGATCAGTACTCTGGAGTACCTGATTCTTTTTCATTCTTTCTTTGAATTCTTCTACATCAAATGAACTGTTAAAAGGAAGTCTGTAGCATGCAAACTTTATTACTTTCATTCTGAAAGTTTTTCTCTTTATAAACCATATTAGAATTTTTAAGTTATCTCATTCCAAACTTCTACCAGAGGAACCAGGGGGGTTTTAACATACCATAATTCTTTTATATCTTCCCCAACATAATTAGAAATGCCTTGAAACAGAATCCTAATTGTGTGAGTCAAGCTATTTCATGTCAAGTGTCATTATTGGCTACTTACACATGGCATGTTTTTGATGATACTTGGAAATAGTGGTGGTTTCTGCTGATTCTGTTGCTGTGGAGGTTGCTGGACACTCACGTTCTGTGGTGGCTGAATGGGCTGCAGCGGTTGGTGGCTGGTTTTTGGCTGAGGCTGTCCGACAGTCTGATCAATTATATCTGGCAGAGGCTTAGGTTCTAGTTCAACTAAAGATGGCTTCAGTTCTATTGGTTGCAGCTGCTTGTGTAAAGCCTGTTTTGATTCCAGATGATTTGAGGAAGGGCCTAATACCTGACCAACTTGAAAATATGGATGTTTCAATGCCTGTAAAAGCATGGAAATAACAAAAAAGAGAAAGTGGTTCCACCTAAATTTATTGCACATAAACTATGATTGTCTGGGCACTGGGCTAGGCATTTAGCATTAGCCTACATAAGCTTCAAAGATCAAGAAAGCACCCATATTTTCCACCATCCAGTGCCCGTATGTGGCCATTTCTAAAATATAACCAGAAAAGAAATGATTTGAGAAATAAATTCCATTAAAAAAATTTAAAAGTACGAGTAGAAAAAATATAAAAACTCACTTTTAATTTTAACATCTAGGCAAAACAACTGTTCCATTTACTTAAAGATTTTTGCATGAAAACAAAATCTAATCTATAAGCATTGGCTAACTAATATGATTAATTCACTCTAAAATACTAGACACTGATCATGGTTCAGAGTACATCAAAATGCATTAAGAATTAAGTTAAGAAAAACTTCCACATAGTTTATTTAAAATGATTAGCCACAGCTATCTATAAAATTCAGGGTTATTCTCAGCCTGAGTATAACAATAAAAAATTTCTGAGAAAAGAGACTACAAATACATATGTGTTTATCAATATGCCAGCAAGGAGAAGACATTTATGGGAAGCAAATACAAAAATACTAATAAAAATCATCATTGGATTTTTACCTAGAGGAGGTAAGAGCTTGCATGGAGGAGAAAGGACCAAAGGACCTCCTGATGTCTGGATAGCATAGTCTAAAGCAGTGGTTCTCAACTGGGGGCAAGTTTGTGCTTAGGAGACATTTGGTAATGTCTGGAGACATGTTTTATTATGATGACAGGGTGGGGAAATGCTACTGGCACCTAGTGTCTAAAGGGCCAGGAACATTGCTAAATATCTCATAATGCACAGCATAGCCACCTACAACAAAGAGTTATCTGGTCTGAAATGTTAGGGTTGAAATTGAGAAAATATTCTAGAGAATGTCTGAAGCCTTCCATGCCACACAGCTGTGAAAAAATTACCCTTTCAGCATCCTATACCTGGGCAAAGGAGGGAAATTCCCAGCCCTGCTGCCTCGGCTGTTCCTGTTTTCTGGGGACGTACTCATTAACAACGCCAAGCCCTGGTCCCATGACCTCAGCCAGTACCCACCTGTGTGGCAACACAGCCTTGACCAACAATTAATCCCTTCTCACATGTGAAAGGGCAGTTTTCAGAGGACAAGAAAGCAGCTCTGTATTTTATTAATAGATGGTCTTTGAATCCTGCAACTTAACCAAGCTTTCTCCCTAACTAGATCTTTCTGCGTCCACTAAAAGCAGGGCTGTGAAACAGTGCACAAGAAAGAGTTAGTTAAGGGTATGGGGAAGGGCAGAGAGGTATATTCTAGCAGAAGTAAAAGGAGTTTTTCTTTTTTTTTTTTTTGAGACAGAGTTTCACTTTGTTGCCTAGGCTAGAGTGAGTGCCATGGCGTCAGCCTAGCTCACAGCAACCTCAAACTCCTGGGCTCAAGGGATCCTTCTGTCTCAGCCTCCCAAGTAGCTGGGACTACAGGCATGAGCCACCATGCCCGGCTAATTTTTTCTATATATATTAGTTGGCCAATTAGTTTCTTTCTATTTATAGTAGAGACGGGGTCTCGCTCTTGCTCAGGCTGGTTTTGAACTCCTGACCTCGAGCAATCCACCCGCCTCGGCCTCCCAGAGAGCTAGGATTACAGGCGTGAGCCACCGCGCCCGGCCAGGAGTTTTTCTTTTAAGATGTTCCCTACTGCAATTGTTGTATAACTACAGTAATATTGCTAAGTGGAAGGCAACAGATATAATTTAAATACCTCAGTACCTAGCACATAGAAGGTACTCAAATTCTGAATTAAGTCACATTAATTAATTAGTATGTCAGTGCTCCTAAATTAATAATGTATATTTTGGAACTGGAACCTTTGAGGATGTGTTTTGTAATTTCAAGGCTTTGTAACAACTCTTCCCTTTTAAGATACCAACTGCCTTCCTTCCAGAGGGGAAACTTTAATATTAGCATTTTTTTCTATTTATGAAGGGAATAAGTGATCACTGTAGACAATAAATGATCTCAAGAAAAAAATAAAAATCATCTCTAATCTCAACACCCAGAGACAACCACTACTAACATTTTTGATATTTTTCTTTTCAGTATTTTTTTCTCATCATACAACATATATAGTTTTTAACAAAATCATATTATATGTATAATAGCATTTGAGCATGAGATATCTGCTAAATTATTAATTTTTAAAACATTCATTGTTAATGGTGACAGTATATTCCAAATTAAAGATGTACATAATTTAAATTTGGAAACATTTAGAGATTAACTTTCAATGGGCAGTTTTCAATTATACTTAAACATCTTTGAGTCTAAATATCCAACTTTCTGTTTTAAGGCTCTTTATATATATACATCACAATATTGCTTTCTCTTACTAAGAGCGATGTAAAGTGGTATCTCATCTTTATTGCATTTTATGATAGTAAATAAGAATTCAACATTTAAAAAATATTTTTGGTAATTTGTATGTCTTTTCTGGTGAATTTTTTTCATGTCCCATGCTCACTTGCCTTTTTTAAATACACTTGAAAAACTTACTATATCTTTATTACAAAGATAATGAATATTTAGAAAGATAAGAAAATACACAAACATTTCAGTATTTTCTTATGTTTTTATAGGAACCTTATATTAAGGATACTAACACTGTCATACTTGCTAAAAATAAATTTTGCTATCTTGTTTTTCCATTTTAAGATTTTTACATAGAAAAAAATTTTAATTTTTATGTAATCAAATCTTCTGAGTTTTCCTTTTGTGGTTTCTTCTATAAGTTTTATACCCATTTTTCTTACCTTGAGATTGAGCATGCATGTATGCGTTCTATAAGTTTCTAAAAGTTTAGGTATTTTTTTTTACACTTTTTAAATTTAATCCTTCTGTTATCTATTTGTAAAGTATGGTAAGTGGTAAGAACCTAAATTTACTTTTTTCCTAAGAGTTAGTGAATTGTCCCAGTATCATTCACTGAACAGTCCTTCCCCCATTTATGATGCCATGTCTGTCTTTTCCTGACTTATACGTTCTGGAATACCAAGCTATTTGTCAACCTGGATGCCAGTACTTTCACTGTTGTTATTATTGTCAGTTACACATTACTCTACTATCTGATGCGGCAAGCTGTCTGCCCCTATCACCACTCTAATTACTTATTCTTGTTTTAACTCGCCGTGACTATTCTTTCCTATTTGTTCTTCCAGATGACCTTTAGAAAGCATTTTCTCAAGTTTAATCCAAAAAGCAAAATAATTTTTTGTAATTTTGACATAGAATTTATATTTCAATGTTAAGAATACAATAAACCTTATCACTTTTTTTATTGAAGCCCTTTGAGATAAAAGCATGGTGTTCTAAAGGCCAGAAGACTTGCTGTGCATGTGTAGATGTTAGCAGGTTAGTCACAAAGGTATAAAGTGTGGCGTCACAGTGCTGCCCTAATGTGGGAGCCAGAGACTGAATATTATTACTCAAGTCCTAGGGAAGGGTGACACTGTTGTGTGAAGTGATCAAGAATCCCAGCTCTAAACCATAAAGACAGCACATAAAGTTCCTACCGTGCTGAATTATTAAAGAGATGCCTTTTTGCTACCCGTGACAAGTTCCTTCATTTTGTTTTTTGAGACAGAGTCTCACTTTGTTGCGAGGTTAGAGTGAGTGCCATGGCTTCAGCCTAGCTCACAGCAACCTCAATCTCCTAGGCTCAAGCAATCCTCCTGCCTCAGCCTCCCGAGTAGCTGGGATTACAGGCATGCGCCACCATGCCCAGCTAGTTTTTTTTTTTTTTTTTGTATATATATTTTTAGTTGGTCAATTAATTTATTTCTATTTTTAGTAGAGATGGGGTCTCACTCAGGCTGGTTTCAAACTCTTGACCTTGAGCAATCCTCCCACCTCAGCCTCCCAGAGTGCTAGGATTACAGGCAGGAGCCATCGCACCCGGCCAAGTTCCTTCTTAATTAGTCTGTCACATGTATAAATTTTTATCATAATAGATTAATTCCTTTCAGCCCCAACCACATAGGATTCTTCATTTGAACTACAAAACACAGACAACCACTGCAGTGGCTATTTTTGCAATTTTCCCATGGATCTTATATGCCTAAAAATTAATTCATTATATATACTGGATGCCTTAGGGCTTTAGGGCTTAATTCTCTTGCTGAAACTTTGGCAATAGACTTGTCTTTGTAAATGAAAACGTCCCTCGTATCATAAAACCTCAAAATGTTAAAAAGGTATAACAGTGAGATTCGTCTTACCTGGCTTGCTGTTGGTCGTTTCTTTGGATCCCAATTCAACATTTCAGTCATAAGCTGAATAGCTTCATTACTGGCATTTGGAATAAGAGTTTTTAAGTTTATAGGAACACACTGGGGAAAGCGGAAATTCATAGAGGAGGCAAGCTGGTATCCTTCTGGCCAGTCACTCTGTTTCAGGAACATACAAAGTATGGGTAGGAGAGAGCAGAAAGAAAAATTGTATTTAGTAATCCATTTAAAAACAGAATAGTAATATGAAAATCATTCATGTGTGAACATTTTAATGTTGATTCATATAAATAACAGACCACATATACAATTCATTCAATGCTACAAACAAAAATAGAAAGAACATTGAATGACAGGAAAAAATGAGAAAGTACTTTAATAAATTTCAAAATATTAAACTCCTGTCTGGTTTTGGTGATGATGATGATGATACCTGGGTGACTTTAAACAAATAAGGGCAAATGCTTTACAAAAAGGCTGGTTACTACAAAGATCCTAATTATATATTATATATAGCCATCCAGTGTTAAAAATTGCACAGAGCTGGGAAGTGACAATCATGTCAAAGGTTTAATATCTACATTCTCTTGTCTAATGTTAACAAGACACATACTAATTTAATTAGGATATACACACTTACACTTATTAAGCACATCTCAGAAAGTAAGGTCTAGCTGAAATATAATAGTTAATCAAAAAGTACTCAGTTCAAGAAGTCGAATGCCCACGGCAGAGTTATATAAAAGGAAACAAGAAAGGGTTAAGGTCCAAGGCACCAAGGGTTAAAGAGCTGATGCCAACAGACAATCACAAAGCAGCCAGCAATGAGCCTAAGCAGGTTGTCTATGTAGCTGTCAGCTGGTCATCAACCCAAAGTTACACTCTCTATATACAGAATTTCCTTAAGTTCTTTTAAAAAGCGCCTTTTTTCTTCAGTCTGGTGGGATTCTGGCTTCTTGCAATCCTTATCCTACCCCGATAAAAAGAAATATAAAGATGATAAGAAAATTAACAATTAAAGCATGTGCCTATTTAAAAGTAAAATATCAGATATCTAGGTAAAAATTATAATCAAAAGTTATACAATTAATCCTAGCACTCTGGGAGGCCAAGGCAGGAGAATCCCTTGAGGTCAGGAGTTCGAGACTAGCCTGAGCAAGAGTGAGACACCATCTCTACTAAAAATAGAAAAAACAATTAGCCAGTCAGCTAAAAATAGAAACAAAAAGTTAGCTGAGCATGGTGGCTCATGCCTATAGTACCAACTACTCAGGAGGCTGAGGCAGGAGGATCACTTAAGCCCAGGAGTTTGAGGTTGCTGTGAGCTAGGCTGACACTACAGCACTCACTCTAGCCCAGGAAACAAAGCGAGACTCTGTCTCAAAAAAAAAAAAAACAATTAAAAGCAAAGTAGAAAATTATAAATAATCAAAAGTTATAATTTAGGGACAAGAGTACTTACTTTTTTGGGAGTCCCTAAAACTTGGCAAATCTTAAAGATTTCATCAACCTCACTTGTCCCTGGGAAAAGTGGCCTTAATGTATATAATTCAGCCATTATACTTCCAACAGCCCACATATCAATGGGAGAGCTATAAACTGAAGATCTTAATAAAACTTCAGGAGCACGATACCTATGAAAATAGAAAACAAAACAAAAATGGCTATTTTGATTGTAATTTGAAACACTGATGGGCAGTGACATTCTGCTTTGGTCATGTGTTTCAATCAAGGAATGGGGATTAAGTGCCTTCTGTGTTTCAGGCATTTGTACAACATGCTGGGGACAACTGGACATAACACATGTTCCCTGACCACAAACAATGGGTGGGGATGGAGACAAATGTAAGTGAAATGTTCACGTAGCCTCCGAAAGGAACGCAAATGAATAAATATGGAATTAAGTGCTATCCCATGTATTAAGAAAAAAGGGAGAAAAAGCTTGTTACAAAGCATTATTAGGTCCAGTATATATTCACATGGAAGACAGAAAACAAAAGATTAACAAAGATTATCCCTGAGTGGTGGATTTCTTTTCTTCTTTTTATCACTTTGAAAGTACTGATGCCCTCAATTGACTCCTCTCTGTAGACAACAATATTGATAATTGAGACAAATATTTACAAGAGCAAAGGTGCCTGGTAAGCCCAACACAAAGTCTGGTAAATGGAAGATAGTTTCAATTCTAATTCCTTTTTTCATATTGAAATGTATAAATATTTCAGTCCAAATGTTTTATAATACTGTCTTTTTGCTTTCATTCAGAGTACAGTAGGTCCTCAAATAACATCACTATGTTCAACATCATTGTTTTGTTATAACGTTGATGAGAAAAAAAATTGCTTCCCAGCCGGTGCTGTCTGTGCGGAGTTTGAACGTTCCCTCCCATGGCTGCATGGGTTTTCTCCGGGTCCTCCACATGCCAAAGCTGTGCACGTCAGGTAAACTGGTGTGTCTGTGTGGTCTGAGCACGGGTGTGTGCGTCAGTGCGCCCTGTGATGGGGACAGTATCCAACCTGCCCTGGCCCTAAGCTACTGGGACAGGCTCGGGCCACCCATGACCCTGAACTGGAAAACAGGTACATAATTATTTCCCTTGTTTTTGTTAATCTTTCTTAAATGTATGTATAGCTCACATTTATTCAATGTTTAGTATTAGAAGTGTTTTGATCTTTATTTAGAAGTTGAGTGATGTTTTTGTAACCAGAAATATGACATAAAAACTTCACTCTTGTTTATATCAATTAGCTGATGGGAAAATTGGTTTGTTATATGTTGTTTCACTTAAAGGTGCAGTTTGAGAACCTATCGACAGAGTTAAGGGATGACTTACTGTACTTTGACAAATATTTTTAACAGCTTTATTGAGATATAATTTATATAATGTACAATTCATTCATTTAAAGTATACAATTCAATGGCTTTTAGTATATTCACAGAGCTGTGTATCCATCACCACAATCAATTTTAGAACATTTTCATTAACTCCAAAAGAAACCCCATGCCTCTTATTCATCTATCTTCCTTGTCCCCAGCCTTAGGCAACCACTAACCCACTTCTGTCTCTATAGATTTGCCTACTCTGGACATTTCGTATCAGTGGAATCTTAGGCTATCTGGTCCTTTGTGACTAGCTCATTTCACTTAGGTAATGTTTGCAAGGTTCACTGATGTTGGAGCATAAATCAGTATTTCATCTTTTTATTGCTGAATAATATTCCATCATATGTATATGGAATATTTGTCCATTCATCGGAGATGAATATTTGGGTTGTTTCTACTTTTTGGCTATGTTGGTGACTCATAATATTTTTAATTTGCTATGTAATGTGAGCAGCATGAGGCAAAGATTTTTCTCTTGTTTGTTCACTGCTGTATTTCCTGTGCCTAAAACAATATTTGGCACATAGTAGGTATTCAATAAATACTTAAATGAATAATGGAATTCTTTTCCTTCTTTTTTCATTGATCAGAATAATAATGAACCAATACTCTCCCTTTAAAGAATACAAAATTCAGTTTTATATAGAGCCTCTAGAAAGATATGTAATTGTTCATTATAGGAAAACTTCAACATAGACTTAGGCCTCAGGAGAGCTGCATAAAACTACTCACCATCTGGTAGAGACATAATCAGTATATGGTGGTTGTGACCTTAATTCTCTTGCAAGTCCAAAATCAGCAATTTTCACAAGTTCTGGACCCATACAAAGCAAGTTTTCTGGTTTCATGTCCCTATGAAAAAAGCCTTGGTAACACAGAGAGACAAAAACAATAAATCATGTTTAAACATAGCTTTATTTGATTTATAAACAATATAATTTAGCCTATCATAATTAGAAACATCATCTTAAAAAAGAAACCACTTATGCCCTAAAAAGTGATGGGATGGCCAGGCACAGTGGTGGCTCACGCCTGTAATCCTAGCACTCTGGAAAGCCCAGGATCATTTGAGCTCAGGAGTTCGAGACCAGCCTAAGCAAGAGCAAGACCCCATCTCTACTAAAAGAAAGAAGTTAGCTGGAAAACTAAAAATATATATATGTAAAAAAAAATTAGCCAGGCATGGTGGCACATGCCTGTAGTCCCAGCTACTCAGGAGGCTGAGGCAGGAGGATTGCTTGAGCCAGGAGTTTGAGGTTGCTGTGAGCTAGGCTGACATCATGACACTCTAGCCCGGGCCACAGAGTGAAACTCTGTCTCCAAAAAAAAATAAATAAATAAAATCACAAAATCACATTCGCTTTTTAGACTAATAATTACTTTGGGTTGATAGATATGCAAAAACTACATAAATTAAAATATATAAACAAGAAATTCACAGAAAACAGAACAAGTACTTGCTTTCATTCTACTCAGAGAATAGATACAACTAAATGTAAATACAAGGAAAACTATAAAACACTCTAAGAGTGTGCTTTAAACTATTTAAATGTTAATAATTGGTCATGCTAGATGAAAGCAGTCTAATCTTTTCCAAAAGAAGAACCTTTTTTTTCATTTCCATAATAAATTAGGGGAATGAGGTTGCATGTTGGGTTTATGATGACTAAGGTCTGATGATCAAACTTAAAAAATTCAAGTTTTTAATAGTTATAAATTATTATAGGAAGAGAGTTATAGATTATAGAAATTCCACTTTATCTCATATAGGACTAAAGAAATTCTAAATTCTTTTAAATAAAAAAGTCAGTATGCATAGGCATATACCCCAAACTTGTAGTTATCTAATAGAATATTATTTAACAGTTCATACAATTTCTATGTACAATCTTGACAGTAATCTAAAGAGGCAGAGAAATGAGACTTAAAAAGAACCTACCATGTTTATGGATAAAAGCCAGGCCTTGCAATATTTGATACATAATATTTCTGATGACTGACTCAGGGAAAAACTTATTTCTGTGAAGAAATGAACACAGAGTCATGTAATACTGTTAAGCAACCAACCAATCAATCCAAAGATTTATATTCTTCCTGTCTTGGAGCCTCTGCTGGCCTCATGATACTGGCTAACGGTATGACGTATAGATTTACAGTGTTAAAGGTCAAAAATTTAAAATGTGAAAATTAGGGGTGAATTCATTTTGATGTTTGTCAAAAACTCAAATCCGAAACTAAATATATTACATACAGCTAAACTCTAAACTGTCCGAAGAGGAGCAAAGTAAATTGGAAAACAGAATCACTATCAGATAGACCAAGCATGCAAAGCTGTATCATGCAGGCTTTAAGAGTTTTTGCGGCACAAATGCTTCAGTTGTAGTCCGCGTACTGGAACTATATGATAGAAATATAAAAGTCACAAAAGAGCCACTTATGTCTGCTGTCCCCAACATGCTGCCCACAGAACTCCATGGCTCCCACCCCCACCCCCACTGTTCCACTGTCCATGGGAAAATAATCAATATAAGATTAATAAATTTAATTTTTATACTAAGTTTTCAAAATCTGGTGTGTAATTTATATTACATTTGCAACACAGCTAAGTTCAGCATTTTAAGAGCTCAACGAGCCACATCTGATTACTGGCTAGTATATAAGACAGTACAGCTTTTTATGGTATTTACAGAGTCTAAAGTAAGATCCTAATAAGGGCTTAATTAGTGCTGAAATATTAATCTCTGCCAGGCTACCAATTAAAGTGATCACCACTTTAATTATTATAAGCACAACTCATTATTCTCTCATGAGGGCATACTATGTTTTAGAGGTTATCATTTTAAGCTTTTAAACTTTACCATAATTTCAACATTTTCTAACATCTTTATTTCAGCACGATTGATTGGATTAATTAGAAGGATCAATTAAAAATGCTTTCAACATGGAGGAAATGACCTATTTTTCTATATTATATTTCAAACTATATTATATCCCTATATTATGTCGTAAAATGTCCCATCATTTAAAGCATTAAGATACCGAATGGCACAGAAAGAAACAATAGACAGACAAAAATAAACACTGGTCTTAACTCAAATTAGAAATAGCATTGATCATATATTACTGAAGCTGAAAAGGTAAGATTACTCATAATCCCACCACTCAAGAAACTTTTGATTTTTCAGTATTCTAATCCAGTCCTAATCATTTGCATACATGACTTTTATATTATGTATCAATGTTACATAAATACAGCTTTGATTTGTTTTTCCACTTACAAGCATTTTCATAATCTTTATAATTATCACCTTCAATGGCTACATAATAATTCCATCGATATTATATACTACATATAATTACCAACCTATTCTCCCATTGACAGTCATTTATTTTAAATAGTTCAAGGAGAAAATGAGGCTTAGTATAACTATTTAACAGAATATAATGTTTATGGTAACTATAAAGACTATGTATCAGCATAAAAAAGTACTGCTAAGTGAGTGAATCAAAAAATTTTATTATCATTAAAATTACAACTAAGTAAAAAGCATGCATGCCTACATACAAGGGCTAGAAAGGACTCTGGAAAAATAAAAACTGATTTTGGGGTAGAAATTTACTTTTATTTTAACTGACATTAACATCATAATGATGTCAGCCTGAAACACAACAGGCATTCAATAAATATGTTTTGAAAGAAGGAAAAATATGATTAAAGAAAAATTCACTTACCATCCTTAGACCATATGTGTGTGTGTGTGTGAGAAAGAAATAGAAATCATCACATTGGAAAATTACTTTATTTCTAAGTATTTTAGGGTCTTTTGCTGAACAACTCTCATTGTAAAAGCAGGCAAAATGGACTTTAATCTCCTAGAAGTGACCAGAACAACATCACCAGAACATTATCTCCCCAAGGCCATGGCAGAAGACTTGAAGCTATCTCTTTAGAGATCCTGCCCACACATTTAACACATTGATTGCCACATTAGAAAAAGAAATTTTTCCTAAGGGCCATGGTGTTTTATTATGAAAATAGAATAAAAACTTAAAAAACAAAACAATCCTTTTTAATTTAATAAAAAATTTATATTTTATTGTTTTGTGGTTTTTTTAATAAAAAATATAAAAACTTGAAAATTAGTGATATAAAAAGTAATATGAAAACATGAAAAATAGTTCATAAGGATAAAGTGTTTTTCTTGACTTGTCAGGCTTAATTGTAATTTAAAGGTAAACATAAATAGAAAAATGAAATTTATTGATTTCTATTCATTTAATACACATTTTTAGTATTAAATTTTCAATATTAGTTGTAACGATAAGAACATCAACAAGTAACATTTTCTCAAACCAAACTGCAGGGTTTTGGCTAGGTTTTGCTTAAGGAAGCCCTAGGCTCATAATTTACATGAGTTAAATATAACTCACATGGCAGTTAATGTGTTAAAAATTAAAATGAGAATTTCCTTAGAATTGGTAACACATGAAGTTTTATCACTTATGCATCCTAATTAATACGTTTCTTAGGTCCTTTCTTAAAAGCTACTTCATTCCTTTCTCCATTCATTCTTTCATTAGCTTTTCTTAAGATGCTTAGGAGAACAACAGAGATACCTTTCTCAATAGCACCCAACACCAGATTTATTACTGAATACTACAGATAGATTTTTATTTTAAAAAGTATAAGTAGACAGTATGTGTGTTTACATGAAATACTGACCTTGACTTTTAAGGATTTACAACAGAAAAATGGTGGCTATGTCATGGCTGATTCTTCAATGTTAAATGCTACCCTTTGATAGAAATAACAGAACTAATTAATTTAAATCTACCTCTTGGAGTGATAAACCTAAATATTACAAAGAATGACATGTTGAAAGGATCTTAAAAACTCATGGAGGAAATAACAGGGAAAAAATTACAATTTTCATAGAATAAAGACATACCTATCTTTCATTAACTGATAGAGGTTTTCCTTCATGTATTCGAATATAAAATAAAGATGGTCATTTTCTCTGATAACTTCTTTCAGTTTAATCACATTGGCATGGTTAAGCTTTTTCAGAGACTGCAAAACAACAAATAATCATTAACATTTCTTAATGAAAAGTTATAGAAGTTGACAAAATCTCATCAATGATAAGTATGATAATTACCTTAAGTAACTTTCTATTTCTTCTGGATTCATTAATGAATTACATTTTAATATCTACATAATTTTAAAACTTCTTAGAACATCTATGTAAAGCAAGCAATAACTGCTTTAAGAAATGAATGCTAAGTACAATAAACCAAGTCACCAGTAGCTACCTAACATTTCAATCTGTCACATGTTCCTCTCAGTCTGTTAAATACAGCTAACTTTTGTCTGACTTTACCATGTGACATGCTATGCAGACTTCATGTCTCCAGAAGTTTATCCAAGTCTTTAAGCATAAAATATAAGGAAATGGTTTGTGGTAATTTAAAAAGTTGACTTTCCCTTGATAATATGAATTAAAATGTTCTTTATTTTATTTGTTATATCTAGATTACTTATAATAAAGTGATCTTTTAAAAGTAAAAATGAACTTTCAAATATGAGAGTATAATTGTATCCTGTTCTCCACTGACACCAGAACAAGAAGAAATGAGAAATTACTTTACTTTAGGAAGAAAAAGGAAAAACATAAACACAAGTATCTTTGGAATGCTTCCCACAGAGAACAGAATAATCTCAGCTACTGTCCTGGGCATGAGTAAAGTTAAGGCCTTCTTGGGTTCTTTTCATCTTTAGGATTTTACCTTAACTTCTCTTAAGTTCATACATTCATCCCAAGAATAGAACTTTCTCTTCATCCTAAAATAAATTTTAAAAGTTTAGTGTACAGGGACTGAGGATTCGAAGACATAAATTACACCGTTGGCTTTTACTGTATCACTGGTTCCCTCTGGGGAGGCTTTATTGCTCATCCCTCATCCTGGTAAGGAAATCCCCTCCCTTCCATCTCAAGGCTACTTGGTAAAAGCTCATGTCTATATCATATCTGAAATTCTGCTTTAACAAAAATCAGAAAAAATTACCATTAATCTTCTTTCCTGGATGAGTTCTTAACATTTCTCTAGCAGGTTTAATTGTGCCTTTCTAAAGGGACCCCTTACAAATTTCCTCTCTTCCCAGAACTTGAGAAAGAAATTTGAAACACTATACTTCAGAGGTGGGTAGGAAAAGAAATCAGAAATTTTGGTAGCAAATTTAGTCAGTGATTTGATCTGACAACTTTTATATCATTACCTCAGTTTTAGACAAGAGGCCCATAAAGTTAAGTGATTTAAAGTCAGTAAAAATTCAGAAGTAACAAACTTTAGAAATTGCTTTCTGGAATTTTGTTCTTTATTTCTCCTCTTCCATCCCAATGTTGGTTACCATTAGAGATTAAATATATCAAAAGAATATTTAGGGTAATGAAGTATTTCTACTATATACACCATAAATAGTGGTTGTGTTTTATATGAACAGATTTTTAGTTACCATACAAAAAAGGAGATAAGAAAAAATAAGATTCATAATCTAAAAAAATATTGTCATATGCAGATATGGGAATTACAAAGCTAGATTGTTAAAAATAAAGACTAAATATGTCCTACTGCTTTCATTTAGCATTATAATCTCCTGTTGAGACATTCTAGAAGATACTCAGGAAGCTTAGAATTGCCTTTATTAACTAGAATAATTCTTATAATCCAGAAATTATAAATTATATGAGGGTATGGTACACAGGTAAGGAAATGAGTAAAGACTTGGCAACACAACTTCATGGTCGAGAATGTGGGCTGTAAAACTGCACTGCCCAGATCTAGAGCCTTGCTCAGCTACTTACCCAGTGTATGACCTTGGACAAGTTAACCCAGTGACCTCTTGGTGCCTCAAATTCCTTAGCTAGCCATAAAGTAGAAATTATTGCATGAGAAAAATCTGTTGCAAATTGCTTAGCTTGGCATTCAGTAACTACTAGATGGTCTCATTTTTATCAATAGCTATGATTGACTATAATAAGACCTGAAGGGCATTACTGCTATTATTTCTAAAACATCCTTAGTGAATCAGAATTTCATTTATAGTCATTCAGGTACCAGAAATTTATGAAGAAGCTTGATGAAATCAAGGGTTTGCTGGCTTATTAAAAGACACCTTTCTGTGCTATAGATTTATAAAATGTCTTGCTAAAGTGCAAAAGGTAAATGTAGCACAATGATGAATTTAAAATAAAACAGAAGTCAATTTAAGTACAGCTATAAAAGTAGTTTAATAAAATGATTATATCCATCCAAAGCTGCACATATGTTATGATTCCTAAAAAGTAATGTCAGAATTTAGAAAGTATCCAATCTTTTAGAAGTCAGATAAAAATATATTCAAGTTACTTTTCATAATTCATTAATAATTGAAACTTTTGTCCTACTTGTAAAGTCTGCTCTCTTCATCCATATTTACTAATATGTGGCTTTCTTTCCAGCGATTACTACTTCTCAACAATACTTCTCTAAGGTGACCCATGTATCTATCTACAATAAATATGTTTTCTTGCAAAATAATTATCCCAAAGACAAACCAATTTCTTATAATAGCTAAGAAAAGGTATATCCTTTTAGATTCCTTGCCCTCTTCTTTCATTTATTAATCCATACAACATATACTTCATGCCAGGGCAATGAACAAGTTAAAGATGGCTTCCCATCTAACGGAGCAAATGATGTTAAACTAGTTAATACATAACAGACGAACAGATTAGTTATATGGACCATGAGATAGAACAAAGGGATCTTTTAAAGATTTAATAGCCAGGCCCTTTTGATAAGACAAAATTTCAACTGAGACCTGAAAGACAGAAGGTCCTAGCATGTAAAGACAGTAAAAGATGTTCTGGGCAGAGATAGCTGCTGGTTAGAGGTTTTGGGCTGATCCTTATTTCTTTGATGCCCTGTGCTAATTTCACTGCTATTGCCAGCTACTTACTGTAAGAAAATGGTAGTGTTATTACTAGGTCACCTTTCCTGTGCTGCTTTTTCTCCATAGCATTTATCACCTTCTAACATACTATATAATATGCTTATTTACCCCCTGTTCCCAAAGGTAAGCTCCTTAGGGATACTCCCTTATGCCTAGATTGGTTGTGTCACAACCAATAAATATTTGCTAAATGACTAAATGAATTTCTAAACCCACGGGTGCCCCCTACACAGGCGACCCTCAGAAATGGAATTGTCTCTCAAGTCCTTAAAGGGCAGAGGGCTTAATAAATATTTGTTCACCAAACGAAGTGAGGGAATCTTACTACCTTCCTCTAGCACAGGGGTCCTCAAACTTTTTAAACAGGGGGCCAGTTCACTGCCCCTCAGACCGTTGGAGAGTGTGCACTGTGGGCCCAGGACGAGTCAGCTGCTAAGCAGGACAGGCAGCAGCGGCAAAAACACCCGGAGGGCCGGATAAATGTGCTAGGCGGTCCACATGTGGCCAGCGGGTGTAGTTTGAGGACGCCTGCTCTAGCATGAATTGTAGGGTATAGCTTTTTTGAAAAATGATAGCAGATAAGACAAGGTTTCTTACCAGTGACCTCAATTCAAACTCCCCAAAGGAAATTTTCAATAGGGGCCTTTTATTTTCTTCTTTATAGTATTCTCCCAACTTCTAACCACTCACCGTCTAACACAGTTCTGACTGCAATGCTAGACTGCTCAGAAGCTTTGCCTACTAAATAAGCACAGACTTTCTTCCCCATGTTCACACTGGCAAATACACCACCCTCTCTGTCCTCTACCAGCTGCTGTACCGCACCCTCGCTCCTCCAGGCCAACTCCACGATGGGCTCGTGCTCAGCCTCTACTCTCTCCTCAACACCATTCTTCACTGAGCACATCTAATTCTAACAGACACCACACCTGCAATGCCTAACTCCTGGTTCTTCTGTTTAAAAGATTTTTAGACTGAAAATACCATCTTCCAAATAATCAATTTTCCTTCAAGGAGACATGCTTACTGCCCACTTTGAAGATTAAGGATAGGCAGCTCTTCTTTATCTGCTACACAAAATGTATTCAATATGGAATTTATTCTAAGTATTATACTTAGAATATTTACAGCCTAAATTGGAAGTACCTAAAATTTTATACCACTAAGCATGAGATGATTGAATATTATGGGATGTGGTTTGTTTTGGTAACCAATAGGAATAAGAATGGAGAATAAGGGGTCTAATATCTATAACTTTCAGGTAGTTTATTCCACTGCACCAGGCCTAAGAGAAATGGCAAAGCCTTCCTGTATGACTCTTGTAGGCAACATAAGACCAAAAACTCTCCTAAGATTCCATAGAATCTAGAACCCTAAGGAATGATGGCTACAGTGAAAATCACATAGATAATCCTGCCAGTAGCCAGGCTTCATGGGTTCTTAACTCCTCTGTCCTGCCACAGTCACTCACAGACGCCTTATTATCGTGAGGAATGGTTCTGCTCTCCAAGACCTCAACCATTACAGCTTCAGACTCTGACCATAACTCCTGTCCTTTCACCATCTTCACCCCAGAAACTGCTTTACACACCCTCTCATTCAACTCTCTGCTACTCCTACGATCCCTGGCATGGCTTGCCTTGGCTTACCTCCTCAGCCAGCCTGGGTCCCATGGTCAGCCCTTCACCACTCCCCCCTCAAGATCACACACCTATTCTGAATGTCCCCCTCTCACAATGTCCCACCTCCTGCCTTGCATTCCTCCAGTCTGTTTTCCATATAGATCGGTAAAGACGGGAAGAAAAGTCATGTAAATGTTCCCAGTAGCTCCACTTTCCACGTAATCCAAGGTAATTGAAGGTGGATTTTTACTGGTACTTAGCGATCCTTTTGTGACTTTCTTGGTAACTCAGTATGCATTCTTCACAACTCTTCCAAGCTCAATGCCTCCACCACTGCAATTCCCACTGCTCCTGCTCTACCTCCATCTGGCTTACTACTTCTACTGTTACACTGGAACAACACTCACCACAGCCACCAGTTATGTCAGGTTCCCAGATCCAAGGAACACCATGACAGATGATATCATTTGAATACCAGATGGCCATTTCCAGCCCCTTTCCTTTTTCCTCCTGGTACAGAGGCTGGAAGAGTGAAATACTCACTTTCTTGGCCTCCTTGGGAAGTAAGGAAGACCATGTGGCCAGTGCTGGCCAACAAGATGTGAGAGGGAGGTCCTTAGGGGCTCCTGGGAAAGAAAGATCACTACCTGATAAAAGATGAGAGAAGAGTTTGCTGGTATTACTCTGTCTTCCTCCCACCTTGAATATGGATGTAATGCCTAACGGTGAAATAGCCATAATGTGGCCATTAGGTGATACATTTGAGGACAAAAAAAATGCTAACCATTCAGTATGAAGATAGGAAAGGTCTGGATTCCTTGGGTGCACTGTTGAGCCACTGAAAGCACTGGAATCATCAAATTCCAGATTTCCTGATATGTCAGAAAAATAAACTCCTACTTACTTAAGCCTTCAGTTCTGTTACTTGCTATTTATGTATTTGTTACTTGCAGCAAGATGCATTCCTAAGTAATCCAGAGCCTTTTAGTCATTAATTATTGCTCATCTTCCAGTTGAGCACTTTCTCTTCTTTAGATCTTTTCCTTGGGTTTGGATATTTTCTACATTCTCCTGGTTTCTCTGGTGGCTCCTTCCCAATCTTCTTTGTAAGACCCTATGCCAGGGCCCATCCTTTAAATGCTGGGGTTTCTCAGTGCTTTATATAGGGACTTCTTCCCCTCTATGTAGTCTCAATTACCATCTGTAGACTAACAATTCCAAGAGCATCAGCCCAGACCTCTAATTTGTGCTTTAAGTGCAACTATTCAATTGCTTATAGTTATCTTAAATCATTATGCCCAAAACTGAACTCAGATTTCCCCATAAGCCTGTGATTTCCCCTGTCATGATGAATGGCACCACCTCTATCCATTCAAGCCAGAATCCCAGGAGTTAGCATGGACTCTTCCCCTCTTTGACTCTTTCCCCCCAACACCCCGTCACCAGTTCCTACAGAGCCACCATCTGTGGGACTTTGTTATGGCAGCCCTAGCAAACAAGTAGATTGAGCCACCTTGAAAGTGGATCCCCCAGCTCCAGCCAAGTGTTCAGATGAATGCACCTCATGAGAGGTCCCAAGCCAGAACCACCAGCCAAGCACTGCAGAGTTCCTGACCCACAGAAACTGTATGAATTAATAAATGTTTGCTCTTATTTTAAATCACTAAGCTTTGGGGTATTTTGTTATGTAGCAAAAGATAAACACGGTGGGTTAAAAATAATTAAATTCACAATAATTAATTCTATTTAATTGGTAAGCTCAGGAAAATACCATATGCCGTTCAGAAGTCATTTGACATTATGAATACCAAATGATTTTGAGGCACTATTGTATTGAAGAAATAATAAGGTCTACTTTGTACTCCACTTTAAATTTGAAAAACATTCCAAAGATTACCTTTAGTTTCAGTCTAAATGTACTATGCATAAAAGTTTCAGCACTTACATCTTCTGCTCTATCAATGTAGCTGGACAAGTCAGAAAATTAAAGTCATATACATGGGAATCAGCAGAATTCCTTTCTGGCAATGTTTTTTTCCCAGAATGCCATTCCTCATTAGCCAAACTATCATGAGGCCTAAACTAGACCTCTCTCTGTGCTTGTACATACTCTTAAGCAAGCAAAGGAAAACAAGATCAGCATTTTCAAAGGTGAACTTTGCAGTGCTCACACGGTACCTTTTGATGGCCACCAGCTCCCCGGATTCGTTGTTCTTGCCCATAAGCACACTCCCATAGGTGCCGTCCCCCAGCTGCCTCATGGTTGTGTACCGATTCATCTTGGAAAACTAAGGCAGCAGAAATTGTTGATTAAAATGACTTCCTTGTTGAATATAAATTTGAACGCTTCTGTATGTTTATTTGTTTTTGTCCTCACACTGTTGTTGCTATACTGGTGACAGGTTCATCATCATGAAATACAGGCTTATCCCCAAGATTATGTAGGTTCATGAGATAAAGCAATAAGGAATCTGGCAGGGAAACACTGCTTCCATTCTTATGGACACCCTATAAAAAAGAAAGCAAGAATAAAATGAATTTCCATTAAAGAGTTTCTTCAAAAATTTTACTGACAACCTAGAGCATGGGCAAAAATTATAAATATATAATATAAATATTACTGTGTTAAGTATTATATTTGTCAGTAAATCATTTGTGCTATGTGAAATGAAGTTCACATATAATAAACTGATAATACTCATTTGGTAAATGCTTCATTTACATGGTACTGTGCTATTTATCCTATGAATGTTCAAAATTGGCCTAATGACTTATATGATTCATTTTTATTGAATATAATGTATATTATTCCAAATAATACTTGGAAAATAGACATCTTTGCTGTATAAATTCTTTGAATCAATTTTTGTACCATATTTAATTTAGCATATTAAATTTAAAACTGTACTGTTTGTAAACTCCCTGTAGAATACAAGTACCCCAATTAGGTAAGTTAAATATAAAGCAAACTTTTGTTTTATATGAAGGGAATAGCACTTTTAAAAAATTTCATATTCTATTTAAATAATATGCTATTTTATTTTACATTAAACTAAGAAAAATTTAAGTACTAATTAAGAATTAGTGTCCCACTAGATTTATACAAAGAAATAAAAGCTGCAAAAGTATCTTTACATACATATGCTTATTTGGGAATCTATGTGACTACTTTACATAGAGTTCAAGAGACATAACTAAAATTTTGGAAAGGTGAATCTCACTGAAGAATAGAAAACCCGGATTAGGAGAATGGAGACAGAAGCTTGAATCTCAAACCAGTGTCTACAACCACACATCATGGGCAAAGGTCTCAACCTACTGGACTGCAATTAACATAACTGTAAAACAAGGGCATTCCAGCTCAAATTCTGTGTCTATAATTATATATTTTCTAAACACTTTAAACACCACACACATAGTTTTGCAATTATTATATTAAAAAAGACACCCACAGATACACATTCTGTCTTACAACTGAAAGGTGGACAAAATCACAAACTCAAAGTTTAGTAAAATTGCAAAATTTTAAATTTTAAAATTATAAAATTTCTTACCAATTCTTCATTATCACACTTACTTTTTGCCCCAGTGACACACCTGTGAGAGGCACTAAGACAGCAAAGGCCAGGTAAATGAGCGACCCATGTTGAGCTGGGGAACTGGCAGGCACTGCTGCTGGCACTGATTTAGGCATTGCTTTGGGCATTGCCTGGGCATTGCTTAATTGTGCAGACATTGTTTGACTGAGTCAGGATGTCTCAAAACAAAGTTTTCGAACTACCCTGATCAAAACAACATGGAGACAGGACAAGTTCCAACTGGATAGAAACAAGATGGTGGAGAAATTGACCTTGCAGCTCTTGACCTTGCAGCTTCATCGTATATCTCATTACCATAAAAGTTCTAAGGAAACCTCCCACTCCCATCATGCATCTGACACCATGACACTTCTTGGTTGACTATATTTAGTCATAAGGCGGTGTCACTCTCATTCCAGGAAAATCCTAATTCCCTTTTCTGAGAAATAACATGAATATCCCTTTCCTTAGTTAGCCTGTAATTAAACTGTTCCTTCAACAGAGGAGGAAAAGGAACCATGGAGCCAGTTCTCGTCTGCAGGGAGAACTACTAGCCTCTTCTCTGACTGTGGAGTAGATTTTCTATATTTTCTAAATAAAACTAGCTTTCATGTTATACTGTCAGCTCACTCCTAAATTCTTTTTTGTCCAAAGCCAAGGACCCACTTGGACTTCAAGTGGCTTCCAACATTGGCAGTCATTTTTATGTGTCAATGTCCCCCTGTGACCCTTTCTCTCAATACTCCCCAAGTCCTCCAACTTGGTGGTGTCAGTGGTGCTAATTTGGCAGTGGTTGGGCTACTCTGGCCTTCTTCCTCAGAAGGGCAGCTCTTTTACACCGTTAATACAGCACACCAAAACAGAAGCTGTCGAGAGAAATCCCTGTTTACTTCTTTGTACAACAAAAACCCCATGAAACTTTTGGCACAGAAGCCCCAATTATATGAGATTGTACCATCTTCCAGGTATTCTAAATACAAATTGCAGAATATTAAAGCTATGAGGACCTTGGAAGTCATTAAGCTCTCATTTGATAGTAAATGCTTTCCTCTAAATTGCTGCTTATTTTAATTAAAATTAATAATATTTACCTTTATATGAATATTAAAATAAACATAGGCCAGCATATTACACTCTTGTGCCTAATTATTTTCTACCTTTCCTGTACAGAGTCATACAGGCCTGCCCTTGCCATGTGACTTGTAGTTCCCACCACGTAGGATAGTATATTCACAGGCTGCCTCACCCCCTCGCTTGGATATGTGACTTTCTCTGGCCAATGAAACATGAGCAGACACAACACAGGCCATATCTGAACAGAAGCTTTAAGAGCTATCCTAGGATCCTGCTTTGGCTCTTCTCTTCACCAGGAGTATGGCACATCCAAGATGGGGGCTGCTCTTCAGCCTGGGTCCTGGGATGAAGAAGACACATGGAACAGGAAGAACACCACTGCCAACTGCAGTCACAAGATGATGGAAGTAAAAAATAATGCTTTGTGGTTGCAGCATAATTTATGACTGAAGAAAAGGTGACCAATAGACATATCAAAGATCCTGGCACCTTTTTGTCCCTTTTAACTGTAAAAAGTCACATAACTGATATATAAACTATGATACTAATAGCTCATAGACCCTTTTCTTCATGGAGAGGATAATGTAATAGATATTTACTTATGATGCTTAGCATGATATGATAATACAGGAATATGTATTATAAAAATAATGCCAACTATCAATTATCCTTTGAACAGTATAAGCAAAACCTTTTGAGCTGTTTATCTTAATTTTTCAATAACAACATTATGTAACACATCTTAATTTTCCAGAACATTTTCATGTAAGTCCCCCAACAATTCTGTAATGCAGACAGTGTGGTTGATGAGTTCCAAAATGTTAAGTGCCTCATCCAAAGTCACAGCAGAGATTATATAAGAACAAAGTCAAGGCCAAATCTGCTATAGTTCCTCCCAAAACCATGCACTATGGTCTCAATGTTTCTGTCCCCCGCCAAACCCAAATTCATATATTTAAATCTAACCCCCCAAGGTGATGGTATTAGGAGGTAGGACCTTTGGTGATTAGATCATAAGGGTGGGGCCCTCATGAATGGGATTCATGCCTTTATAAAAGAGGCCCCCAAAGAGTTCCTTTGTCTCTTCTGCCATGTGAGGAATCGGTCAGAAGGTGCAATCTGTGAACCAGGATATGGGCCCTCACCAAGTCACTGAAATCTGCAAGTGCCTTGACCTTGAACTTCCAGCTTCCAATAATTTACTTTCATTAAATACTCAGTCTATGGTATTCTGTTAGAGCAGCCCAAGCTGACAAAGACATCATGCCAGAAAGTGTTTGTTGACTTGGAATCAGACACTCTTTTTGTACGAGAGAGGCTTCGAGTACAGACCAAGGCCATGGCTGACAGAAATATAAAACCTCTGAGAGAAGGCACTACGTTTTTATACAGTATTATGATCAGATATTCTAATGCAGACACGATCTTTAAAAACTATTCACTAATATATTTAATAACATTTTATATACTTCTACTTTATAATTTCCATTTAATAGTCAAATCTATTGCAAATGGAGATAAAAATAATGTGCTTATGTTATTGTTTGTGAGCTAACATCAGCACCTATGTTGGCAGAGTTTGGGCTACTGAGTGTGCTTTTTGTTTTTACTGTTTTTTTTTTAATTCTATCCTAATATATAGGCCTTTTAATTTTATTTTATCTTTTAAGTCTTTTATTTGAAAACAATTTCAAGCTTACAGATAAGTTGCAAAAAAAAGAATAGTACAACACAGAGAACACACAAAGAACCTGGATATACCTATTGTTAATGTTTTACCCTTTTATTCTTTCTTTACCTATTTGCAGAGAAGGGGTCTTGCTATATTGCTCAGGCTGGTCTCAAACACTTGGCCTCAAGTGATCTCCCACGTCTGCCTCACAAAGTGCTAGGATTAAAGGTGTGAGCCACTGTGCGTCCAGCCTGCCCCATTTTTGTTCATGATTTAAGAACTCTCTATATATACACACAACAGATACACACATAATTTTTTTCCAAACCATTTAAGGTTACCTTACATATATCAGGACCCTTTACTCCTACTGAAGATGAATATAATACTTTAATGAGCCATTCTAATTTTTTCAGTTGACTCAATCATGCCATTTATAGCAGTTTCCCCCTCCAGTACAGAATCCAGTTCAAGATCAATATTGCATTTAGTTGTCATGTGGCTATAGAGTTTGCAAGTGCATGACCAGGTACAATTTAAAGTAACATATAAAATAATACCAATCTTACATGCATAGTAACTGTAATTGACTTTTCATTATGACTCAAATGAGCTCACTGTAACCACAACTCCTGGGTTCAAGCCCCCCTCCTATCTTAGCCTCCCAGTAGCTGGGAGTACAGGTACACACCATCACACCCAGCTAATTTTTTTTTTTATATAGACACAGGGTCTTGCTATGTTTCACAGACTTGTCTCGAACTCCTGGCCACAGGTGATCCTCCCATCTTGGCATCTCACAGTGCTGGGATTGTAGGAGTGAACTACAATGCTTGGTCAGAAATTTATTGTTTAAAAAAGCAAATGACAGAGTAGCTAGATTCAAAACCAGGTATTCTGATTTTAAGTCCAGGCTTGCTTAAGAAGGAACTGTAAAGTGAATTGCTAAGTAGTCCTTTGGGCAGCACTTTCAAAAATTTTAAAGCTTTCCACTTATTAACTTATTTTTCAGTATAAGTCCCACCATCTGGAATGCCAGTATCTGATGGAGCAGGAAGGAATCATGATATTTATTAAGCTGTCAAAGAGAAGTGGTACTGACATAAAAAATCTAGTAAAGGTCCTTAAACTCTTATGTGAAACTCTTGGGCCAGATGTATTATGGAATCCAGAAATGTTCGTATTTTAGAGAAGTAATATAGTACATATACTATGTTATATAACACCCTCCAAGCAGCATCTCAATGTACCTGCAGAAAAATGTATGAAAAATACACTAAGTAGGTCGGGTGTGGTGGTTCATGCCTGTAATCCCAGCACTTTGCACTTTGGGAGTCCAAGGCAGGAGGACTGCTGGAGGCCAGGAGTTTGAGACCAGCCTGAGCACAAGCAAGACCACATTTCTAAAAAAAAAAAAAATAGAAAAATTAGGCAGGTGTGGTGGTGCAACACTTGTAGTTCCAGCTACTCAGGAGGCGGAGGCAGGAAAATTGCTTGAGTTTCAGGAGTTTGAGGCTGTAGTGAACCATGATTGCACCACTGTACTCTAGCCTGGATGACAGAAAGAGACCCTATCTCAAAAAAAAAAAAAGAAAGAAAATAAAAAAAGAAAAGACAAGACAAGACAAGACAAGACAAGACAAAGCAAAGTAAATGGAGACTATAAATGGCCTCAAATCATTACACCATTCAGGTCTTGTTTTGTGAATTTGTATGAATTTATTTCTAAAATTTCATTTTCAGAGCTTTGTGGATTTCACTACTACAGATAAGGGATCATGAATCTGTATATATTAGAAGGGTGCAGGCAGACTTTTAAGGTTTCAATAGGTTCTGATTTTATTGTTATAATTAAAAGAAAACAAAGCACATGTCTTAATGTCTACCCTATTACAAAAATATTCACTAACTTCCTCCCATTGTTCTATGTTAGTTCCACATTTTAAAGAGTTATTTCTCAGTACATACCTATTTATCATTCTTATTTTGCTTTGAAAAATATCATTCTGTTATAGGCTTTAATGTTTAGTTGCAGATGGTAACAAAATGTTTGGCACCTAAAATATCTCCAAGATATGCCTGTAGTTTGTTTTAAAATGCTTTCTATAATTTGGTGCTTTATCCAAAGAATATTTTTCCCTTACTGTAGCACTTTCATTTCCATAAAATAAAATCATACAAATTGCTTCTCTATTATATGCAGGACTTTAGGACAACAATGATGTGTTGTAGTTGTTAAAGTACTTAAAGCTTCCAAAAACAGACTTTCTAGAAAAAGAAACATAAACATGGACAGAGAAGTACAGTAAAACTATGTTGCTTCCTATTTATAGGAATGTATTTGTTCACAAGGAACTTTAGAAGAACCTGGTGGGACCTTTAAATAGTAGGGAGTGTATATTAATTTAACACTCATCTTACTTCATCTAGATCAGGGGTCCTCCAACTTTTTAAACAGAGGGCCAGTTCACTGTCCCTCAGATCGTTGGAGGGCCAGACTATAATTTTAAAAAAACTATGAACAAATTCCTATGCACACTGCACATATCTTATTTTGAAGTAAAAAAACAAACAGGCAAAAACACCCGCATGTAGCCCGCGCGCTGTAGTTTGAAGACACCTGATCTAGACAATAATCTTTCCAAAGGCACATGTAAAATAATTTAGGCTATGCCAACTCCATAGCTAGGAGTCTGAAAAGAGGCCAAGACAGTAGATTCCATTTCTATTCAGGGGTTTCTTATTTTTGTCAGATTAAGCCTGAGCTAATGGTCTTAACAAATGCCAGCAAATGCTTCCTCATTTGCTTAAAAAATCATTATTCCCATGTACCTATTCACCGATAACACATAAACAACTACTTTTATCAGTGTAACACAGCAACTACTGATTATTAGTCAAAAAGCATATATGTAACCAAAACACAGACATCTTATGGTTCTCCTGCATAATATTTCTCTATAAGTTAAGTCTGTTGACCTATGGAAAACTAATTCTGAAAAATGGGGATTAACAGTTTCTTATGTACTTGTGTATATATATTACATATATATGATATACATGAAACAAAACAAAACCCAAGTAAATGTAATATAATTATCCTCAAGTAATTTAACAGAATTGTTAGGACCCTGGAATTTTCCACAATCAAGCTATAATATTATTGGCTTTCCTATGGGTTAAACAAGCCTTATATTCTGATTTTTAAAAAAAGACACTTAGAGGCTCAAGTATAGATCTACACAAAATAAATACCCTTATAATTTATCTCCCATTCTAGCTTTTCATATTTTTAATCTAAGTGCATAATTACCATTTTTCTAAGTGCACAACTGTTGTAAACTTGGGCTTTATTCTCAACAGCTTCTGCTAGCTAGTAAGGGATTTAGACAGGATTAAAGAAGATCAACACAGAGGGCAAATGAAGGGTAAAACTCATGTCTGCCAATCACTGAACAGATAAGGCTTGGAGGTCTCCAACTTGGCTTTGTATAGAAAAAAGGCATATAGAATACACTATAATGATGTCAATCCAAAGCTGACATTAATTTTTGTAATACAAAACAATAATTAACATTTTAATCATCACTAAGTTGCTTAAAAAGCAACACAGAAAAACAGATTTCAAACCAAGTCATATGTTTACAGAAATTAAAAGAGGAACGATTACAATGGCAAAACAAAGATTGTCTTAAAATATAAAAGCACAGTTCTCTGTGCTGACATTCTCCTATTATTTAAAAACTAACAAAACAAAAAACCCCACCCGGGTGAAGAGAGCAAACGTCCCGCCCAAGGATGGCTAGTGCAAGCAAGCGGCGGGTCAGGGGAAGTTTCCCCTTCTCCCATCCAGCCGCCAGGATGGAGCAGGGCGCGGGCGCGGGAGGCCGTAAAAAGCCCACCAGAGGCCAAGAAAGTAACTTGTGTCTCCACCACTATTTTGACTAGATGGGTTGTTTTTCTGATAAAAATGAGTTCGATAACTTTTGGTTCCCTGTATGAGAATTCCGTTATCATTAGCACAATGTTCCTTTTCAAAGATTATCTAAACACAACGGCATAAATCTCTTTGCTTGTAGATTTGAGATCACCAACCACTAAAACCAGTTTCACTGCGCCCGACGCCGGACTCTTGACCTCAGTTAAAACGTATTATTCGCGGGAAAGGTGCGGTTTTCGTCACGCGCACTCTGACACCGCTCGGCAGACCCGGGCTCTGAGGAGACTCCGGCCCGGTGTCCCGCGGGTTTGCCGGGAGGGGCGTCCCGGGAACGCGTCCGCGCCGCGGGTGGGCGACCCCGGCTCCCGCGGCCTCGGGACCGCCCGGCGGCCCGCTGGGGGGAGGGGCAGGAGTGTGCAGGGTTCCGCTTTCACCTGCGCGTCACCTGGGACGCACCAGGGAGGCTGGATTTGAGCCCGGTTTCCTCTCCCTCCCGTTACACTGCGGAGTAGCTCCCAGACTCGGCCCGCCCGCAGCCCTTCCAGTTTCCCCTCCAGCCACGCGCGGGGAGGGGCGGCCTGCCCGGCTCCACCCTCCCCACCCCGACCCTCCTCGCTGGTCCTTCCCTACCAGCGTCCGGGCCCCGTCTCTGCGCGGAGGTTGGCTGTGGTCGGACAGGGCGCCGAGGGGACATGCCAGGCCGGCCGCGCAGGTCAGGCTGGGCTGGGGTGGACGGAGGGTGGCGGCCCCGCAGCCCGCTCAGGATTACCGGCCCGCGCCGGCCGCTCACCTCTTTCGCTCCCTTGTGAAGCTTTGGCGTCCTGTGTGTTTCGTCTCCTAGGAAACGGCGCCAGCTTACTCCCGCCCTGCCCGCGCAGGCCCCGCCTCCACGGGGTGGGGCTCCAGAGAACTCGGAGACCTTCTGCCATTTAGGTTGGGGCTTGGGAGAGTTGATTGCGTTTTAAGTTAGTACTTTCTCAAAAGTTGGTTGGTTTGCCCTTTCTGCTTTGTTATGGTTTTGCTCCCGTTCATTCTACAAAGTCTTTTTTTTTTTTGAGACAGAGTCTCACTAGTTACCCTGGCTAGAGTGCCGCGGCGTCAGCTCAAGCACTCCTTCTGCCTCAGCCTCCCAAGTAGCTGGGACTACAGACATGTGCCGCCATGCCTGGCTAAGTTTTTATATAAATTTTTAGCTGTCCAATTAACTTCTTTCTATTTTTGGTAGAAACGGGGTCTGGCTCTTGCTGAGGCTGGTCTCGAACTCTTGAGCTCAAGCAGTCCTCCTGCCTCGGCCTCCCAGAGTGTTAGGATTACAGGCGTGAGCCACCATGCCTGGCCCAAAGTCTTGATTGTTCTTCAACGTTGTTCCTAGGCTGGGTAGGGCAACGTATTTGCCTCTTACTTGTACTTGTTTACTTAGATACTGCCTGGGGAAAAACTGTTTTTGTTTGTATTGCAGTCCCTTATGTTGGTCAATTCCTCAGGTGTGTACGTGGGCTGTACTTCTAAGTTTGTTTTCATTTATTCATTCAGAGAACATGCTCAGTACAAATCACAGGGTTACATAGTGGTAATTCCAAGATAAAGGAGTGAATGTGTGAATAAATGAGTGAACAGTAATGAGGCTAGAGTTATGAGAGGGGGGCACACTTGTGTTACTGAAAAAGTTCAGACTGGCAAAAAGGATCCATGAAACAGCAACATAAGAGATGGGAAAGTGATGTAGCCATTTAATAATTATTAGATGTCAGTCAGGCTCTGGGCCTTAATGTGTCAATGGGCAAGGCCAATGAAGAATTTCCCACAGAGCAGTGACATATACATGCAATATGGAATGGCTAAATGGAGCTATTTAACATATGCGTTACCTCAACTACTTATTTTTTGTGGTAAGAACACAAAATCTACTCTCTTAGCACTTTTCAAGTAAACAATATGTTATCATTAACTATAGTTACCGTAATATATAATAGATCCCTTCAACTGATTCCTCCTGTCTAACTAAAATTTTGTGTCCTTTGACGACTATCTTCCCAATTCCCCCGCCCCTCCCCGACTCTGATAATCACCATTTTACACTCTATTTCTGTGAGTTTGACTTTCTTACACTCCACATATGAGTGAAATCTTGTGGTATTTATCTATGCCTGGCTTATTTTACTTAACATAATGTCTTCCAGGTGTGTCCCTATTGTTGCAAATGACAGGATATATGTACATAATGAAATACTATTCAGCTTTAAATTAGACCACATTTAATTTAAAAAATTTTCATCAGTTCCTGACGAATAAAGACATATATGTGAAAAGCAAAACCTTTAAATGTTTAGAAAAGTATATTGAAGAATATATTTATGGCTTTAGGATAGGTACAGATTTATTAAACAAGATGTAAAGGTGCCAACCCTAAAAAATATATATATAATGCTAAGCATCATTTTGGTGCCTGTTTAAATGCATCACTATTTAGAAAAAACAGGTACATTAGTAGATAAATGAAATTATAAATTATCTTCATAAATTGATTTCCAGATAGCAAATACTTAAAATTCATTATCCATTTATTGAATAAAATACTTATTGAGTGCTCACTACGTGTGATCCTGTTCTGTCACTAGGAGTACAGCAATAAAAATGACAGACAAGGTCCCTGGCCTCAGGGAACTCACATAGGAAAGCCAGGCAATAAATCATAAATATATAATAAAATTTTCTATAGTAATCAAAGGTCATGAAAACAGAGCAAAGTATGAAGATGGAGTGTGACTTTTCAAGGAAGACCTAAAGTAAGAATAAGCCCTGGGGAAAGAACTCTTGAAGTCTGTTAAGTTTCTGGCAAGTTTCTATCCTATTCAGGACATTTTTATTTTTGTTAAGGTAGTAAAAGTACATCTCATATTCAAAGAAAAATTTAGTGTTTATCTTTTTAGTATCCCAAAGAATTCTTTACCTCAAAGATTACAACTATCTTTTAATACTTCTGAATTTAGCTTTATAATGGAGTGGACATGCCCATATTTATTAATTTTGCACAGACTGAACATGGACAATAATAATTACAATAGTTGCTACCTTTTATTTAATACTTACTGTGTCAGGTACTTTTTATAAGTGTTGGACACATATTATCTCTTAATCCTTTTTTGATGAAGTAATTACTATTATTAATTCCCATTTTATCTGTGAGTAAGCTTATCAAACTAAGCCATTAAGATAGTCTAGGTAGAAAGTGGAAGAGCTGGGTTCAAACAGACAATCTGTCTGCCAGAGCCTGTACTCTTAACTCCATACGAATAATCTCTGAGATATTCAGTGATTGAATATATTGAATTTGGACTGAGGTGAATATTCATTAATGTGAAAATTGAGTCCTTGTTTTTATAAATGATTGATATGTTTGGTATATATTCTGTGGAGAAAATGTTTTGAATCTTTGAGAATTTGTAAAAATCTAGTTTATACCATTCAAAATGTTAATTGGCTACTATTTATGTTAATGGACTTATTTGGTCTCGCCCCCTCCCCTAAAAAGTAGCCTGGTTATTTTTTTGAAAGTCATAAGCTACTAACACTAGAGAAATTCAGGCCAGTTCAGGAAAAATCCAGAAATAAAGTGTTTTGTTTTGTTTTTTAGGAAAAGTGAAGCAAAATTTCAGATTTAAATTATGTCTTTTACAGAATCAGTTAGGTTGATAAGGCTAGTTCTAGTACAAATAGGTAATTATAACATTTCTATCATGTCTGGGGTAAGGGGACCAAGTTTTTTGAAGTGGGAGTTCACTGGCCACCCCAGACACCCCCAGGTGATTAATACCTTAGGCAGATGTGAGGGATTGATGGAACGCTGGTGTGGAGGCTCAGACTCTGAGGAAACTCTAGTTTAGACAGCCTGAATAATGACAAAGCCATATGGAGTTAGCTAATTACATTGTTATTATCATTGAGTGGAAATTCAATATATATTTTATTTGGGTCACAATCATCCTGCATCAATTATGTTCTAAATTGACAACAATGAGTAATCAATTTCTGGACTAGGTGAACTGATTTTCTGTGGATGTCTTGAGTTGCAAATTTGTGATCACTCTTTTACTAAAACCATATGCATATTATTTTCTATGCCTATTTTTATTTAGATGTTTATGCTTAATAGAATAAGAAATATTACCCCAGATTATCCTAAAAAGAAGGACCGGCTCCTTACTTGGAGATGGGGCCCCAGCTGAGCCTGCTGTCCATCATCATAAAAGCAAGGAAATTTGCTTTCCTTCTTGGAAGCAAGCAAAACACTCTAGAGGGGTTTCCCAGCAAAATAAATATTGGATCTCAAACCAAAAATTTTGAGAGATTGAGGAAGCTCAGGAGAGAGCCACTTTTTGGCTTGGCAAAACTCAGACTAAATCCTAGCTGGTACCTTAGCCCCAATGGGAGAAATTTCTATACGTCAAAAGAGGCTCTACTCTGAGGTGTCCCTTCAAGTGGTTGCCATTTGTCAACCCAAAAGAAGTGACTAAGGCACACTCTGAAGAAAAGCATATTTATAGAAGACATTAAAGATATTATAAACTTCTATAAAAAATAAACTTCTATAAGCTGGCTAGAAAAAAAAAATAGAAAAAAAAAAAAAAAAAAAAAGATATCAGAAGAGGCTGCCTAAGACTAGACTGAACCCAGCTTTAGTTGCTGGCTCCACTCACCACCCTAAGGGACTGTCAAGGAAAAAGAAGCCAAACTCTGTAAAATAAATAAAGAGGTTTATTCTGAGCCAAATTTAAGGACCATTGCCTGGAGCCACACCCAAGAAGCCTTGAGCAAATGAACCCACTGTGGTTGGGGTTACAGTTTGGTTTATACATTTCAATTGCACAGGAAGTATATGTAAAGTCATAAATTAATACCTGGAAGGTATGCATTCGTTTGGCCAGAAAAGGTGGGACATCTCAAAGTGGGGTTTTACAGGTTATAGGTGGGTTCAAAAGAGTCTTTGATTTGTAATTGGTTAAAGAAATGAAGCTTTGTCAAAAGATTTAGAATATTTTAAGTAAGGAAGTCTGCAAATCAGAGATAAGCCACCAGACAGATACTGGATTTAAGTGATCTGTTAATTGATGCCCTGCAGGTGTGATTTATCCTTTGTCTTACCTGGCCTTACATGACTCCATATCTTATGCATACTATGAGTAACTCCAAAAGGGAGGGAGCCTGATGAGGCCTGTCTGACCCCCCCTTCTCCTCCCAGCACAGCAACTTAGTTATAAGGGTTTTCTGGGGTCCCCTGGGCCAAGAGGGGGCCCATTTGTTCATCTGAAGTGTTTAGGATTATATTTTAGTTCACAAGGGGAACAGTGATGGAAGACACCCAGGGTGGAGCTCACATAGAAAATTCTTCCTTGCACTTTTCAAAGAAGAAAAACGAAACATTTTTATCCACTTTAAAAACGAGTAAAAGTTAAGGAAAAACATAGGGGTCCATGAGCTAGATGCAGAAGGTTGCGTCTTCCATGAGCACTGAATGTCTGCAGCTTGTCTAGGGGGAGGCGAGTGAGGACTGGGCACAGCCCCTCAATCTTTCTTGTCTCTCAGTTGAGCTGCCCTCTGAAAGGTAAGGCTCTGCCACTCTGCCTCGAAGCCCCACGGAGACATAGCCTCACTGTCCCAGAGAGACAAGTCTCTGAGGAAGTGAGCTGCCAGGCCTGAGGGGAGATCCTGGGAAGGAAATCAGAATCCAGGGTTGTCCTTAGATCCTGGGCTGGTTATGAAGCCAGGCTGACTTCATCCTGTATATTTATGTAAAATTAACACAACAAATTATACAAATTGCAGGTGTAATTCTGAGGGTTTTTATCTCCATTCAGGAGATTTAAAAAAATACAATTAAAACAGGAAAATTTAACATAAAAAATTATTAATTTGTAAAAGATGGTCAACTGCGAAAAAGAGTAAAAGACAACTCTAAGGAATATGAGACTAGCAATGCAGGGAGTAGTTATTATCTCCGAGGCTAAGGGAAAGCATCCAAGAAAGAAACACTTACTGGACAGGCTGTGGTGACAGCCCACTGGGTGGCAGAGTAGCTCTCCAGAGTGCCAGTGGGGCTGGAGCTGCTCCACAGGCATCTGCCCACTGGAGCACCAGGGGGAGAAACAAGTTGCCTACTGGGGTGCTAACAAAGCTTACAGGAGAGTAAGCACAACTGACAGCCACACCTCAGAAAGAAAAATAAGCACACTGCAATAAGATAAGCCCCTTCCTCTGCTAAGTCTTGCAATACACCTTCTTCACCTTCTAGTGACAAAATCTAACATTATTTTGGAAAGGAAAAAATGTTTACAGGATCTAGCTCAAATATCACAAATAGAACAAAGAATGGTGAATTTGGGGTTGAGAAGCAATAAATTGATAACTTGCACATATGCGGATTCATAAATGTTTACATATGTATATACACCTGTGCGACAACCATTTTCTTCACATCATAAAGTTCCCTAGTGCCTCTTTCTGTGAACACCCATTCTTGTTCTTCCAAACACAGGCTCCTTAATGTACCTCTCAGTGTGTGCCACCTACTTTGGAGAACACGATTCTGCCAGCTTTGTCTGACGTCTCACCTGCACCTCAGACCTGACAGTGTTCCCATTCAGCACCCTCCCATTCCCCCCTATTTGACCTTCACTGTACTTGGCAGCCCCAGTTTCCTAGTTTCTGAAAATATGAAATCTGTGTTTCTCAATCTCCTTGTTAGTTTTCAGGCAATTTCTGAAAAGAGGAAAGGGGAATTATTTAAAACCAATAGTCCAGGCTCAAAAAATAACATAACCACAAATATTTGCCTCAGTGAGTTAATGAGTTTTCTAAAGAATTTAAAAACACTAATTTGAATTTAAAAATCACGTTAATACACTATTGAGTTTTTTCTAATAATGTTTTTCTAATACCTGCATTAAGGTTTCTATTAAAGAACAATACAGGGAGCGAGGCCCGGGGCTCGGGCCTCAGCGGCTACCAGCTCCTGCACCATAGTTCATGGCAAATCTGAGTGTTTTAAAGCATGGACTACAGAAAACAACAAAAAACTTCAGCTAGTGCTTTAATTTCATCTGAAACTCTACAGGTATTGTTTGTGACAATTACATACTGCTGTATGTTCCATTGGGGAAACTGAAGGTCTTTGATTCAGAAGAAATAAGAAGACTCCGTGACTCACGTGCTTCAGCACTGCCGTGGATGGCCCCAGCTCTCCTGCCTGCCCTTCCAAGTAGGATGTCCCTGAGATCCCTCAAATGGAGTCTCCTGCTGCTGTCACTCCTGAGTTTCCTCGTGATGTGGTACCTCAGCCTTCCCCACTACAATGTGATTGAACGTGTAAACTGGATGTACTTCTACGAGTATGAGCCAATTTATAGACAAGACTTCCGCTTCACACTTCGAGAGCATTCAAGCTGCTCTCATCAAAACCCATTTCTGGTCATCCTGGTGACCTCCCACCCCTTAGATGTGAAAGCTAGACAGGCCATTAGAGTTACTTGGGGTGAAAAAAAGTCTTGGTGGGGATATGAGGTTCTTACATTTTTCTTACTAGGCCAGCAAGCTGAAAGGGAAGACAAAATGTTAGCATTGTCTTTAGAAGATGAACACCTTCTTTATGGCGATATAATCCGACAAGATTTTTTAGACACATACAATAACCTGACCTTGAAAACCATTATGGCATTCAGGTGGGTAACTGAGTTTTGCCCCAATGCCAAGTATATCATGAAGACAGACACTGATGTTTTCGTCAATACTGGGAATTTAGTGAAATATCTTTTAAACCTAAACCACTCAGAGAAGTTTTTCACAGGTTATCCTCTAATTGATAATTATTCCTATAGAGGATTTTACCAAAAAACCCATATTTCATACCAGGAGTATCCTTTCAAGGTGTTCCCTCCCTACTGCAGTGGGTTGGGTTATATAATGTCCAGAGATTTGGTGCCAAGGATCTATGAAATGATGGGTCATGTAAAACCCATCAAGTTTGAAGATGTTTATGTCGGGATCTGTTTGAATTTATTAAAAGTGGACATTCATATTCCAGAAGACAAACCTTTTCTTTTTATATAGAATCCATTTGGATGTCTGTCAGCTGAGACGTGTGATTGCAGCCCATGGCTTTTCTTCCAAGGAGATAATCACTTTTTGGCAGGTTATGCTAAGGAACACCACATGCCATTATTAACACCACAGCTACCAAAAGCCTAGAGAAGAACAGGATACTTTGTGGAAAGTGTTAAGTGTGGCACTGTGGAAAATTCATGGGAAGGTCAGTGTGCTGGCTTACACTGAGCTGAAACTCATAAAGAACGTGGAGGCTGGAGATTTAAGCTTTACTTGTGATCTTGTTTGACAAAAATCAAGTCAGGCCCCTTAAAGATGATATTCAGAAGAATTAAATATAAAGAAATTAGAGGTTTTGCTAATGAAATTAATAGGACCAAACAATTTGGACATTGTCATTCTATAGGATAGAATTTCTTAAAAGGGTTTCTCTGAATTATAAACTCATTGGTTCATAACAGTAAAGCAATGTGGAGTGTTATTTATTGAACAATCTAGTCACTTAAAGGTTTCGTGTGTATCGTATATGGATTACCAATTTAAAAGTATAGTTCTGTGTAAACAAACTTCATTGAAGTTATACCGAACAAAATTTCATCTTTTTTTTGTCATTTAGAAGGTACTTGAAGATGTTGCAGTATTTCAGAGTTATCAATTATTATTGAATATTACTTTGAACTTCCTGAGTGTTTAAATGTTTTGATGATTTCAATACTGTGTAAATAGAATAGTGAATCACTGTTTATATTGAAATGTTTTTCTAGTTACTTCACTGAACAGTTTGTTGATAGCCCCATTAGTGTGAAGTCATAGGTTGTTATTGTATATCAGTAATCTCTTGGACTTTGTTAAATATTTTACTGTGGTAATATAAAGAATTAAAGCAAGAAAAATAAAAAAAGAACAATACATTAGAAGGTACAAACTTTAACCAAATAATATCTATCTACGTAATTTTAGCCCACTTGGCTAAATGCAAATCCACTATTATAATAGCCAATGCAACAGAGAGGTTTTGCAGAAAAAATGTTTGTCATCACATAATCCATTACATAATCTGACCACTTCTTTTCTGTTGATATTAAATGAAATGCAGATGTGAAAAGCACATCAAGATGCAAATCAATACTGCCCTTTCCTGAAATCACTCACTGGTATATTCCATATTAGCATATTCCCTAAAATTTAATTGTAAACAGAGTAATTATGGTACTAAAGTTATTAAATACACAAAACAAGCTTGGAACTATATATATTCAAATAGAATTTCAGTGGCAGATCAACTTTTATATCTGAAACAATACCCAATAATAGTCAGCTCTGATGATAAAATGGTCCTCTGTTTTTCAGATAACATTCCAAAAAAAGTTCTGCAATGAATATTAAAATAAAGTTTTGTGAATAGATTTTAATTTTTCAATAGCTATATTTATTACAATATAATACTGTATTTAGACAATTGGCATTTCTCAAGTCTTGGATTCAAATTTGAAATTTTTTAAAAATCCTCTGCTGAAGAGAAAAAAGCTTGAATGAATGACAACGACACTTACACTTAATTCATCATATCTAAACTGGAAAATTGTAATGCTGAATAAAGCTCATTATACACTGGATGACTACTTATAAATTTTCCCTAAAATAGTTATGCATGTAAGCTCCTTTAGGGGGTCATATATTTTTATGAAATTTTCTTCAAAGTCATAAACTTCTCTGATGTGTTTTATACCATATAGAGACACAATGATTCAAGGATAATTTTGGACAAGCTGGACCATACATCATTCCATTAACATGATACCAACATATTTTTATCTCCTGTCTTCATAGTGTAAAGTCTTTTCTCACACATACCCTGCTCTATATATATTTATGGAAATTTTCCCATATCCAAAGATCAACCTCTTCCTCAGTTAGATATGACCTCTGAAGTTTCAGTACTGTCTGCACCTCTTATTGCATGGGATAAGTAAATATTCCTTGTAAGTTTATGAGCTCCCCGAATATAATAACTTCCCTAGTCACAATACATTGTACTTGGTAGGAATTCAATAAATTTATAAACTTAAACAGCAAATAGGTTAAGTTAGTTTTTTGCCCAAGTATCTGATATCTATGCTAAATATATATCACCCAATTGCAACGGATATTGCCACTTCTTTTAAAAGCCTAGCAACCACTCTCTACAATGACTATGTCAAACCCTATTTATTCTTCCTCAAAAATTCCCCTCTCTAACTCATAATTTTCAGATGATATGCTCTAGTTTAGAAATAGAAGCTTCATGGGAATTCCCTTGACTTTCCAAAAGCCAACCCTACAAAACCATCTTTGCCCACTTCAAGCCAATCCCAGCTTCCTTCTCTCCTGTCACAATGTGAAGAGGCCATCCTCCTCCTATCCCATCCTCTCCAACCTTCTCAGGACTTACACTATTCATCCTTCCCCCATATAGTCAACATCTCCCTCAACTGGATCCCTTCCGTCAGCTTTTAAATATGCTCATGGCTCCGCCACTTAAAAAATAAATTTTTTAATCGCCCTGCGATCCTTTCTTTTCCCCTTCCATGCCAAATGTCTCAATAACCATACGGACTTACTGACATTTCCTTTCTCCTCACCCCTCAACGCACCCCATCTGGGCTCCACCTCCATGACTGCGCCCTAACAATTCCTCCAGGGAGCCCCACACCCAGAATCCGGCTGACATTTGGAGTCACTCATTGGCCTGTTCAGTGGCACAACACTGTTCTTCTTTCTTTGTTTCTTGAAACAGTCTCTTCCTTTTGCTTTCACAATACAATGCTGCCCTGGAATTCACTCTACCATTTAGGCAACACACAGTTCTAGATAATTTGGGGGAGAAAAATGAGTTCTTCTTTTAAGATGAAATGAGCTTGTTCTTTCAAGGAGCTTGTTCCACTTTATGATATACAGTTTTCCAGGGCCGTATGTTAAAAGAGCAGATCACCTACCATTCTACAGCTTACACCAAAATACAAACTTTATTATGTGAGAATAAATTATATAAAATAAGAATATGCTATTAAGTAAAATTAAAATCTTTGGAAATTCAGTACAGAAGCATACACTTGAAAATATAAATGATTGATAATGTTTGGTCCTTTAAGCTAACAGATCTCAAGGACAGAGTTTATAGTCTTAAAGAGGTATATGTACACCCATGTGCTTAGCAGCACTATGCAGCAAGAGGTTGAAGCAACCCAAGTGTCCATTAACTGACGAATGAATAAACAAAATGTGGTATATACATAACATGGAATATTCTTCAGCTCTAAAAAAAGAAATCCTGACACATGCTACACCACAGATAACCTTGAGGACAGTATGCTAATTGAAATAAGCCAGTCACAAAAAGACAAATACTATATGATTCCATTTATATGAGGTAACTGAAGCAGTCAAATTCACAAAAACAGAAAGTATAACAGAATGGTGGTTGCCAGAGACTGAAGGGAGGGAGAAAAGCAAATTGTTATTTAATAGCACAGAGTTTCAAATCTGCAAATGAAAATGTTCCGGAGATCTGCTTCACAACAATGTGACCACCCTTAACACTGTGGAACTGTACACATAGTCCTGGAAGGTGGCAGGTCTCTGATGGGGATGGTTTGCAGATACTTGGGATCTGAACGCTAACCTCCTGTTTTGGAAACAGCAGCCATGTTTTCTGTGGCCATGTTGGTCCCAGGGAGTGATGCTATGAGCAGTAGGTGCCTCTCTTCAAGTGGACTCTGTGGGCCAACTGATGAGCATCTCAACTGCAGCCCTGATGGCTGATGTGCAAAGTCTGTTGTGAAGTTTTCTGGCTTGTGTAGGACCCTTCAGACTTAGGGAGAGAGATATTGCCAATAATGACTAATATTGTCTGTCTCGCCACCCTGGTGAGTAGACTCAGAGTCACATTTAATTTGATTTAGAAACAAAACAAAATATGACAAATCTTGCACTGTGTGTTGTCAAATTAATTCATACTCATTAATGATTACATGTAAAAACAAGCCATCGGCCGGGCGCGGTGGCTCACGCCTGTAATCCCAGCACTCTGGGAGGCCGAGGCGGGCGGATTGCTCAAGGTCAGGAGTTCAAAACCAGCCTGAGCGAGACCCCGTCTCTACCATAAAAATAGAAAGAAATTAATTGGCCAACTAATATATATAATATAAAAATCAGCCGGGCATGGTGGCTCGTGCCTGTAGTCCCAGCTACTCGGGAGGCTGAGGCAGGAGGATCGCTTGAGCCCAGGAGTTTGAGGTTGCTGTGAGCTAGGCTGACGCCAAAAAAAAAAAAAAAAAAAAAAAAAAAAAAAAAAAAAAAAAAAAACAAGCCATCTGCTCCTCTGCAGACCAATAAATGAAACACAGAAGCCCAGGGCCTGGCCTTTCCTGCCGGCTTCCTCCCTGGCCCATCAGTCCATTGGTCTCGTGGTGTTGCTGAACATCTTGCCCCAGGCTGCTGCAAACTCCAGTCACCTTGCCTGGTGGCCACTCACTTTTAACACAAGGGTTACCTCTTCCACATGGACTTCCCTGGACCCCTGTGATCCTGTAGCCTTATGTTGGTACCTCCAGGAGATCACTTCCTATTTGTCTCCACACACAGAATCACTCCAGGTGCTTGCTGAATGCAGCGTCTTGGCCCTTCCTTATTTCAGTCCACTGAATCAGAATCTCGGAAGTCGGTACTAAGATTCTATATTTTTAATGTGTTTCCCCCCAGGTGATTACTATCCTTTCTTTACCCTCTGTGCTGGCCTGAATAGTGTCCTTCCAAAATTCATGCCCACCTGGAGCCCATTAATATGACTTTATTTAGAAATAGCTTCTTTGCAGATGCAGTCACAATACGAAGAGGGTATATTGGATAGGGCAGGCCCGAATCCAATATCTAGAGTCCTTATTAGAAGAGGGAAATTTGGAGACACAGAGATACAGAGCAGCAACCGCATGTGCAGATGGAGGCAGAGAGTGGAGTGATGCATCTACAAGCCACGGAATGCCAAGGACTGCCAGCCGCCACTAGATGCTAGGAGAGAGGCATGAAACACATTCTCCCTTTGAACCTCTAAAAAGGAATCCAGCCTATCAACACCTTGATTTCAGACTTCCAGCTTCTAGACTGTGAGAGAATAAAATTCTGTTGTTTTAA